GGCACACTTACTGCAATAGATCTTGACGTCTCGCGTGTACCCAATCCAGTAGAATCGTTGTCGAATTCGGCCGAGAGTTTTATTAGCAGCGAAATGTCCACTGGTGCGAGTGTTGTGCAGTTGATGCATAACTTGCTCTCTGTAGGACCGGGGCAATACCAGTTGCATTGTGTGGTCATCTGTGGGGCTGACCCAAAGGCGGTATAGCGTCCCATCCTTGAGCCTGAGAGTTTCCCACTGAGCCCAGTAAGCTTTGGTGGCCGCACTCTCTGGTGCAATTTCGGACCATGGTGGCTTCTCTATGCTTTTCTTCATGAGCTTTATGAATGGTCCGATATCAGGGTCTTTCTCTTGTGACTGCTGTAGCTCATGTGAAGTCCCCACCACTTCTTCTCCTTCACCCCCTCCCCCCTCCGGGATGTCCTCGCTCACTGGCCTTGGTTCGCCATTGTTGACCACATCTTGTTCAGCCTGGACTCTCCGGGTCTTCAGGGTTTCGAGGTTGTGAAGAGTCCACTTCCCTTCTGTGCTGCCGTCACTTCTTCCCCCTTGTGATTCGTGATCTCCGGTCTCTTTTACATCTCGGCATCCACAGAACCTGCAGTCCCAGCATACATGGGTGCCTCGAGAGAGCGTCAGCATTACCATGTTTCAGCCCCGCCCGATGCTCAATGGTGAAGTCGTACATTTGAAGTACTTCCATCCACCGGGCCAGTTGGCCTTCTGGACGTTTGAAGTTCAGTATCCACTGGAGGGGATGCGTGGTCACTTCTGACCCTGAATCTCCGACCATAGAGGTAAGGGTGAAAATGTTTGATGGATTGTACAACTGCTAGTAGCTCTTTCTGAGTGGCACAGTAGTTTACTTCAGATCGGCTGAGGGTGCGGCTGTAATAGGCTATTACTACCTCTTCGTTATTCTGTAGCTGGGACAATACAGCTCCGAGTCCAAAACTGCTAGCGTCGGTGTCTAGCACAAATTCTCCCTCTGGATTTGGGTATCCTAGGACTGGTGCCGTGGTCAGGCGTTCCTTGAGTTTTGCGAATGCACAATTTCGCTTCGGCCGTCCAGCTGAATTCGGCATCCTTCACTTGTGCTAAAGTGTGCAGCGAGTGTGCAATATCTGCGAATCCATGCACAAATCGTCTTCGGAGAGAATTGCATTCGTTTTTGTTGGGTCTGTTGGATCCCCAACCACATGTCCAAGGAACAAGACTTGCCTCTGGAATAGTGTGGTCTTCTCAGGGGAGAGCTTCAGGTTAGCATCTCTCAGTCGTTGCAGCACTTGAGCGAGGTTGCTCAGATGGTGGTCGAAAGTTTTTCCCGGCACCAGTATGTCATCCAAGTATAGCAGACAGACGTCGAGGGATAGGCCGCGGAAGACTTGCTCCATCAGTCGCTCAAATGTTGCTGGGGCGTTGCAGAGTCCGAACGGCATGACAGTAAACTGCCAGAGACCTTGGCCGGTTGAGAATGCTGTTTTTTCCTTATGTCCAGGATCTAGCCCAACCTGCCAATAGCTGCTCCTTAGATCCAGAGTCGAGAACCAGCTGCTGCCGGCAAGAGTCTCCAGGCTGTCATCTATTCGTGGCAGCGGATAAGAATCTTTCTTCGTCACAGCATTCAGTTTCCGGTAGTCGACGCAGAATTGAACACTTCCGTCTTTCTTCTGGACTGGAACAACTGGTGATGCCCATGGACTTGAAGATGGTTCAATGAATCCATGTTTCCCCATTTTCTCAACTTGTCTCCTGGCTTCCTCGCGTTGGGATAATGGGAGTCGACGCGGTGGCTGTCTGATTGGAGCTGCTCCTTCTGTGTTGATCTGGTGTTGAACTAAGGTAGTTCTTCCGAGGTCATCCGAATTCTTGGAGAACACGTCTGTGAATCCTGCAAGCAAGTCCAAAGCCTTGTTCTGCTGTGCTTGGTCCAAGTGCTTCATGCTCCTGTTTATAAGATCCTGAAGGTGTGTTGGTAGCGATTCTAGGGTCAGTTTCCGCACCTTCAAATTCTCAGCAGTCGGTGAAGCTTCGTTGACTTCTATGGGTGCCAAGAACACACCGGCAACTGGTTCACAATGGGAAATGTCTGCCCCCTTTTGCACCCTGTACTCCTGCGATGAAGGGTTGAGGACCCTCACTGGCACCGTGTCTTTCTCAAGATCGATGAGACATCTCCCCACCAGCAACCCAAACTCTATCCGGCTGGTGTCTGTCACCCAAAACTCCCCACCGGCTCTGACCTCTGCTGATGACTTGACGAGGTACTATTGCTTCCGTCCACGGTTCCACGGTGCATGACTCCTTAGCAATGACCCTACAGCATCTTGGTATATCGGGAGAGGAGCAGGTCAACAGAATTTGCTGGTTGCCTATCACCAGGATTCTGTCTTTAAGGCAGACATGACAGCCATATTTCTCCAGAAAGTCTAATCCCAGGATACACTCGTCTGTGATGTTGGCGACCCACATCTCGTGAGGTAGCACTACATTCCCGACCCCAACCTCGAGTTCACCACAATCTTGGATTGGAGCAGGGTCTCCAGTGACTGTCCGGAGAAAACTCGTGCCTGGACGCAAGGTGCGTCCGATGTTGGCCAACACGTCTGGTCTGACGATGGAGATGGTGCTCCCAGTGTCAAGTGTTAGTTTGCAGGATTTACCAGCAACGGTTCCAGCGAGAGTAAGTCCATCTGTGACTCCCCGAACTGACCCAGCCTTGAATTGTGGTAGCTGATAAATAGAGGCTTTTTGATTAGTAGTCGGTCTTTGCCTCTCAAGGCCGACTACTGGCCGTTTCCCTGGTCCTGCTTCTTCTCACCGCTTGCAGATTGTGGGCAGTCCCTTTGGATGTGGCCCCTTCGCTTGCACCTCCAGCATATCACTTCGGTGCTCCTCCTCTGGGGCGACGGCTTTCTCTCCCCAGGAGTTCCACTACTGCCACTACCGCCACTGACCCCCCCGATCTCTACAACTTCCAACTCCGGTTCCGTATTCTTGCAGCAACTTAATGCATTCTTGTAACAGTTCTTCCGGGTCTCGTCGGTTGCCCAAGTGGGACGTCTGCGTAAACTTGGTTCCTCCGAGTCGCGTCTCACGTACTGGTCTCTCTACTTGCCGTTTGGCTAGCTCGTAAGACTCCAATTCTAACACGTGCTCCAGTGCAGCTTGTAGCGTCGGTGGTCGGGCCTGCCGAACGCGAAGTCGGATGTCGTCGTTTCACAGCGCGTCGATGAATTGATCCTTTGCCAGCAGTTCCAACAAGGTCCTGTCAGCATCAGGGTAGGCGAGGCGGGTGAGTCGCTCCACGTCTTCTGCGAGTTCTGGGAGTCCTTCGTCACGTCTTCGACGGCGAATCCGGAGGCGAGTGCGGTTGAGTTCTGCTTGATGAGCGACTCCGAAGCGAGAGTCCAGTGCTTCCGTCAGAGCCGCATAATCCGTTCTGCTTCGTGGAGGAAGGTTGCCGAGGAGACTTAGGGCCGATCCCCTCAGGTTGATCGCGAGGAACGTGGCCTTCTCTGCATCAGTCCAGGAGTTCAGTTCTGCGAGCAACTCAAATTGCGCCTTGTACGCGTCCCATGGTGAAGTCCCGTCGTATGGAGCCGGTCGTACCATGCGCGCGGCTGCTGAGTCGCGGAGCGTATCCCGTCGTAGGGTAGGCGCTGCTGCAGTCGATCGTCCTGGGTCTCCGCTTCCGACCCCTGCGATTGGTGGGGTGTCTACTCCGTCGGTTTCATCAGCTGTCCATCCGGACGCCGGTACCGTAGTCCCTTCGCTCGCTCGAAACTCCTGTGCTGAAATGCGCAATCCGGGGGTGTGAGAGTCCTCTGTTCGCCGCGGCTCAACTTCGACCGTCGCCGCCAGCTTCTTCTCGGCTGCTTCCACCCGAGTCTCCAGCGATTCGCCAATCTCCTCCACGTATCGTCGCACTCGTTGCAACTCCACGAACTGCTCCCGGCTTTTCTGTTGTTGCTCTGAGAGTTCGCTGGTACGTGCCAACAGTTCTTCCTGCGTTCCCTGTTGTGATTCGAGCATCGCCATTATAGCGGCCAGCTTTTCATTGACTGCTTGGGCTCTCGTTGTAGCCATCCAGAGATGCCGCACAGGATCCCACTCCTGACACCAATTGTAGCACTTCTAGTCCAGTGCGACCGTGGGTATATACCGATCCTACTTGCGCGCTGGAGACGCAGTCCGACAGAGGTTTGGGCTCAATGAAATAAGGACTCTGATGGTTACACTTTTCATGGTGTTTTATAGCTACTTTGTGATCACAGTGGTGATAACAGACAATGTGGGATGTGGCTACTGTACACTTAGTGTGACAAACATTGACGCTGACTGACACCGACTGTCTGTTGACTACACACCAGACAAACCCAGAATCCCACATTAAGGTACCATCTACTATAATTGTACGACTGAGAAGCTACGCCCTTATTTTACACGGGCGTAGCTTCTCAGTCGTACAATTACAGTAAGTTCAGTAGCTTCTCTATGTAGGTAGAGCACAGATAAATGCAAAGTAGACTTTGTTGGCATGAATGATGACTGTGTTAGAACACTAGAAAACAACCATGCTGTGTGTGCTATGGAACCATCAAATTGTGTCATTGAGTTCCTACCATGAAGAGCTTTTTTATCTACTGTTATTGCCCATTACTAAGGTGTTATTAAAATTTATTCTGCAAATACACTAGCTACGGGGCTGTGGTTAGGGAGTAGGGATTTGTATCTGGAGGTGTGAATATCAAGTATTGATTAGAAAAGACAATAGAATTCCTTCTGGTCATGGCTTTGTATAAGGTGTGAATTCCTGAGTGCACTAAAATTTTCAATGACGGACGGGGTTCGCCTGCCCTAAAATTGTCGTAGGACCAAAATTTTCAGCGGAAAAAATTTCTGTAGCAGTTCCAGGCTTCTCTTATCCTTCTAGGGAAGCTTTTGGAACGAGACTAGCTTCAGACACTATCTACTAACTACTTGTCCTTTTCTTACAGTATTATGAACAGTCGTCATACCCTGAAAAGGCCAGAGTACAACAAAAGTTATTTGGAATTTTGAATGGGACACCTTTTAAAGTAGTGATTTTTCATGAGGTAAATGTTTCCTGCATAATGTTATTACAAGTGTGGTAGGACTATGTAGGTTAACACATGGTGCTGATTATAATGTTAAATCAGGGCAAAAATTGGTGCTAGTAACTTACATCCACACAATAATTATTATGTGTACAGTAAACTTGCATGAATGAATTGGGGGTTTTTCGCCTATGCTGAACGTCAAGTACTACAGCTCTGCTCTGAAAACACCATAGAAATAATAAATATAACAGTATTTCACTATCCAAAAATTTTTTACATGTCATACGTTTCAGCTACAAACTGCAGCCATTATCAGTGGGAATGCTTAAAACAGTGTATACAACCGAGTATTGGATGGTATGTACAAGGTGGCTTAGCGAGGGGCGGCGGAAGCGGTATGGCTAGTATGGCTAGAGCCACACCAACTTATATATAAGTATGGCTCAGCCATACCAACCTGACCGGTCCGCAGCATCAACTTACTAGCTAGGAAGCTGGAGTCCACGTACCAGCACGCACGTAGGACGATATATTTTGCGCATGCGCCATAGAATGCCCCACCCAAAACAAAGCATGTGTGTTGTGTTGGGTATGGATTATCAACGAGAAAGGGGAAGGGAATTTAAGAAAGAGTTAACTGGGGAGAGCGTGGGCGGCTTTTGTCAGCGTCATAGCATGCGACTGTCCAGGTGTCCGTAAAATCACACGTAATTCTAACCACAGACCTGGCAGGCTTGCTTGGAAACAGTAACGTGGTAGAGAGAGACTGTAAATAATTTATTTTCTGGTCATCAGGGGAGCTCCCATTCCTTCATCATGTACAGCATGTTTCGGCCTCTTTAAACTCCCGACATGCTGCACATTCCAGAAGGGGCGAGGCCACTCCGCCTGCTTGGAGTCCAGAGTCTCTTTTTGCAAACTGAACTACTTAATAGTCATGTGCCACTACTTTCCACAAGTATTATACACATGGGTAATGTATTATTTTATGCTATGCTACATTATTAGGTTATCCTAGCTAGATTACAGTTACATTAGTATTAAGTAACGTACTTTACTTGGGGCTTGCAGCTTGTCTCACACTCTGTGCCTGACTGAAACCAAGCAGGTTTGCCTAGCTATATATAAGCTGCTTGTTTTTACTAGTGATGTCATAAAGTAGCTACTATGTACACTGTGACACTAGGCTATGAATATATTAGTGTGTGTGTGTGTAAAAAAACCCACAGTGGTGGGGGAGCAGGACCCCCACCACTGTGGGCAGTCCCACCCCCCCACCTATGGGTTGACGGAGTATCTATATAATATTTTCAAGTGTGGGTTTAAAACACATCATTTACTGTTGAGCCTGTATGGATTCATTGTGCGTAGTGTACAAATCCAAAATTGTTCAAGGTCTTGGAGTTCAGAAAAGTTGGTTTCATTAAGGGTGTCTATTGGTTGGGTGTTTATGCAAGGAATGTGGACAAGGCTAGGCCGTCTAAGGCGTCATAGACCATTGATCAGTTTTTCTTCCGGGATGACGACGAGTCACCGTCGCATGAAGCGTCGAGTGTATCCTTAGAAACGGAGTTGGAGACACAAAGTTCAGGACTGGGCTTTACGCTTAGCATGGCCGCATCCACAAACTGCTCATCTAACGTGAACTGCTGTGCTACATTGCGGACATACCTTGCTTAGTTTGTTGTCCATCGAGAACAGAGATCAACACTGACAGAGGAGAGAAACTCAAGAACCGCTTGCTCGTCCAAGGTCAACTAAAATAACCACGTGGCATCTCGCAGATGCGCATGCTCCGGCAAACGATATATAGCTACGGCAACATACGCGCGTGCGCGATGGATCGGTCGCGTCTGATGATGCTCCGGCAAACGGTATACACCCACATACGCGCGTGCGTGATGGATCGCTCGCGTACGCTTTTTCGCTTGTTTTCACGCCATATCTCTGGAACACAGTCGTTTCAGGAAAATCGCCACATTGATATCCATCTTCTCATTGTTCACAACCTGTTGGTGCCACTCATTGGCCGCCTTGTAGCCTGTACTGCGAGAACTCGCGCGGACAGAATGACAGAACGACTACCGTAACCCTCGCTGCGCATGCACGCCGAGGGTTAACAAGTGAGCCTCTGCTTTAGGCATGTTGACACTAATACTCTTGAAGTGCATGAGGAGTTAGTTGGCTTCTATATGAAACATAAAATACCACAACTGATTCACTAACCATAATCATCAAAGACGTTGTTAGTCGATTAGGACTTGATTTGAAAGATTGCAGAGGGCAGGGGTATGACGGTGCGTCCAACATGAGTGGAAGACTGTCTGGAGTACAGGCAAGAATATCTGCTGAATATCCCAAAGCCTTATATATACACTGCTTTTGCCACTCATTGAATCTTTCAGTGCAGAACTGTTCCAGAAGCATTCCACTCATGTGAAACACATTGGACACCATCCAGGAGCTTATCAAGTTTTCAGCAAAAAGAAAGGCTTTGCTTGAAACAATTCGGTGCAATTTTTGATTTAGGTCGAGTAACATTACATCCATTGTGTCCAACTAGGTGGACAGTGAAAGGTAAATCGTTTGAGTCTGTCCTGTGCAACTATACAGCACTTCTTGAAACGTTTAACTCAATTACAGATGGTGTTAGCAATTCTGAGGTTACTCATTCACAACTCGAAACATTTGATCGTTGGTGAGAGATTTTTCTGTGTGACTGATTCACTAAGCTGGCTACTGCTGGAGTAAAGAAAGCTGCAGCTGCCACTAGCCAAACAATTCAATTCGATCGGATGAAGAGTTCTCTTCATTCTGGGAGAGAGCTGTGGCTTGCAGAGGTCATCATAAATGGTCTTGTATCTTTCTTGCCGGAGGGTTTTAATGCAATCCTTATCTTAACAGCAGAACATAATCTTTTAATAGCACTGTTGGCGTGTGGAGGGAGACGATTTCACAAACTACCGCTATCAGCTACTCTTGCAGGACTTTGGCAGACACCACAGTGTGATTTTCAATAATTGACTCCCAGAGGTGCCAAAAGTGTGTCGGTTACCTTGGCAAAGCAGTAGCTATGCCACTTGCACCATGTGGAGGAGTAGGTTGCCTCGGTTGACCCCCTCCCAGACTAGCTGAGGACAATAACCCCTTGCAAAGTGGTGATAGACTGAAACGAGCTCCAGGTACTTAATGTATGTGGCACATCCTTTTTTCTTGAGTCCATGTGCTGCGGCTCCCCATCCGGTCAGGGATGCTATCTCCAAGTCCCACTGATGAATCCAAGAGGTCTTCCATTGTGGGTGTAGCAGCCACCACTGCATTTTCACCAGTATGTTGTGGGAGAGATGTGTAGGGTCGCACTGACGTCAAGAGCAGGCGTCTTCCATCTCCAGGAAAAAGTGTCCAGCTTGCACACTGCCTAAAGTGCACGAGTATATCTCCCGGGCAAATTCACGTTACACATAAACAAGCAAGTATACGGAATTTCATTGCGATCCTCGTTCTCGAAACAGCAACTCCAGAGAATAGAGGAAAATAGAAAGGGGAGGGAGACAATAACCCAATTAATAGTAAGGTCACAAAATAGGGCAATATGGGCATATGCCCCACAATAATTATGCACACCATGCATGTTAATGCAGCAAAAAAGGAAATAAGAATTATAAAAATTGTGAATATAGGGATGGTATAAAATTAAAGGAGACATGATAGGGATGACCTAGTGTACGTAATTCAGTAGTACAATGGACGATGGCCTGACATTGCTTGCTGGTATAAATGTTCCTACACACATTAGCCCTATATTGTCGCCACTCTGCAGCAACTCCTCGATATGCCGGGTGCCGACGGGTGTCGAGCGGCAACGCATTTTCGTAAAAGTAATAAGTAAAAAAGCGCTATCAAATAGTAATAAAACAGCGTTTTTCCTGATGTCCCCTTTTCTCGTAGCTGGTCACAATATTACTGGTACGAATTATGCTTAGGACTATTCAAAACCCAGAGTGGTGCAATGGTTTCTGTTGGTGACAATGCCATGTAAATATCCATGAATGATGGTTTGTGTATGCAGCAGCAACCTTCACCTACATAACTATCCTGGTCAATTCCCACTTGGCTGTTATTATTCATAATAATGTATATTTTCTTACATGTAGGCACAATTCAACCATTTGGGGACAATTTCTGAATATTTACATCATATCTGTGGCAATGCAACATTAAGAAGTGCATATCAGTTTGCTAACCATCATGGTAAGGACTGAATTATTAAAGCATCTAATTCTGAAGCAGGCGCTCGGTCAGTGTATATTTGTCCGTCACGCTCTTCTACGCATGCGCGGGTGGGCCGGCGCGTTGGTGGGATATCGCGGATCACGGCGGAGCGGGCGACGTATTCAGAGCCATGGATGAGGAGGAGGATCAATGTGAGCTCGTTACCACGCCAGACGACCAAACGCCTGGGCCTTCGCTGGCAACAGTGAGAAAAAGGCGACAAAGAGCGCGAGTCGCTGCTTTGGAGTAGACTGCAGAAGCTGCTAGAAAAGCCGACAGAAAAAGAAGCAGAAGCGAAGAGTCGAGCAAGATTCGGTGAGCATGTCTACACTCCCGTTCAATATTCTATGCATTTTCTGACTATATAGACAACAGAGACTACAGTACCAACATCAATATGAGCAGAGCCGTAGATCAACTGAGACAGATGAGGAGAGAGAGGTGAGACTACAGGATCTACGTCAGCATGAGATAGACGTGCTAGCAATATAGGACAGTCTGGTGCAATGACCAAAGATAGATACCTGCGTGAGAGAGGTTGGGCAGAGTCCAGCCAACGATTACATCACCAGCCCTGGGCTCAGAAACAAATGATGGCATTCCACAAAAAGCAGCAAGATTGGGAGCACTCTTTGTGCAAGGTAGTACTTGGGGCTTTTGGCAAAACCATCACAGACATCTTACAACACCAAATATTGATCTTGCCAAAGTTACCAAGAGCATGCTCCTGATAGCAGAACCCTTTTCCCTAACCTATTCAGGGGGGATAATACTGTTGGCATATGCGCGGCCTTGAACTAGACTTGAACTGCAATTATCACAATAGTGCAGCAGGGCAGACAGCAAATGATACAAAACTCAAGAGCCTTTTATAGTAACCTATGATGTTCTAGCTGTAGAGTGCACGGGGTGAGAGTATTCTGTAGTGTTCTGGAAGATTCTGGGATGTGGTCAACCTGTAAATTACATTCTTTCAACACTCCCACTTAATTGAAAGGTTGAGGAACTGTAGGCAGTGATTGCAGTCCCATTGACTGACGAAGAGTCTCAAATCGTCCACGGGGGAGTGGTTTTGGGAGTATATCAGCAATCATCTCTTCAGTAGGACAGTAGTGTAGATTGATGACACCATCTTGCACAGCTTCACATAATGATATCGGATATCAACGTGCTTTATTCTGACATGTGAAACTGGATTCTTGGCCATGGCAATTGTTCCTTGATTGTCTTCCATTATCACTGTTGGCTCTTTCCAACTAATTTGGAGGTCATCAAACAATCTTCTTAGCCAGACTGCTTCTTGAGTAGCGATGCTAAGGGCTACATACTCTGCCTCCTATGTTGACAGAGATACCATAAGTTGTTTCTTGCTCAACCAGGTTACAGTACTTCCAGACATGACAAACAGATTTCCCGTTGTAGAGTGACGATTATCCGCCCAATCTGCGTCTGAATCTCCTTTCTTCTCATACTTTAGGGCAAGATTAACCGTTCCCTTCAGGTAGCGAAAACCCTTTTCACGGCTGTCAAGTGGGATTCGTTGGGTCTAGCATTGAATTTCGATATCACTCCCACTTCCTGGGCAATGTCAGGACGGGTTGCAGTGGTAGCATATAACAGGCTGCCTACCATTGACTGGTATCGGATCGGATCAACTGCTTTGCTGACTCCATCATCCTTTTTTAGTTTCACGTTGATGTCTGCAGGTGTGACAGCTGGCTTTGCCTGTGACAGACCATACTTCTCTAGTATAGCTGAGATATACTGCCTCTGATGTAGCCATGGGCATTTTCTTTCATCAGCCTGCTCGATGGTGATTCCGAGACAATAGTGCAGTTTCCCTAGGTCCTTCATCTTGAATCGTGTGGCCAAACTTGCCTTAACCTCTTCCATTTTCTCTGGTGTCTCGGTGATGATGATCAAATTATCAACATACACTGCAACAATGGTTAAACTTGTTTCTCCAGTTTGAATGAATACACAGGGATCTGCTGTTGATTGCATATGCTCCCTGAATGCAGTGTTCCAGCATATTGGAGATTGCTTCAACCCATACAGGGACTTTTTGAGCTTGCAGACGAAATTCTCCATTCCTGTCTGAACGTAACAAGGTGGTTGATCCATGTAGATTTCTTCTTTGAGGTTACCATTCAAGAATGCTATCACAATATCCATCTGATGGACAAGCATTTCATTTTGCACAGCAAATGCTAATAGTGCTCGGATAGATGAGAAACGAACGACTGGTGAGAAAGTTTCGTCATAATCAATTCCGTACTTTTGAGCATACCCTTTGCTACCAGGCGTGCTTTGAACCGCTCAACTTTACCATTGAATACCCACTTGCATCTGATTGCTTTGCGACCACTGGGCAATTTCACGAGGTCCCACGTGTCACACTCCATGAGTGATTGATACTCTGCATTGGAGGATGCTTTCCACTCTTCAGCAAGGTCACTTGCAAATGCTTCCTCTATGCTGCTTGGCTCATTTATCTGACTTTCTTGTAGTCCTTCTGTGCAGGCTAAGTCAGCATACTCATCGATTCCAAATCTGACTGGTGCACGTCTTCGTCGTTCAGGGTAGCGATGCTCTTCTTCTCTTTCTCCTTCTGGTTCAACATTGTCTGGTCTGACTTTAATTTCTGGGTTGATGTCCACTTCACAGAACTTTGTGGCTCCACACCAGCAGCTTTGTGATCAAAATCTGTTTCATTGAAGGTGACATCTCGCCGTATGAGAACTTTGAAGGTTATTTTCATCAATCAACCTGTATCCTTTGGACTGGATACTATACCCAATGAATTGAAGCTTCTCAGTCTTCTTGTCTAGCTTTGTTCGCTTCGAATCAGGAATATGGGCATATGCCACACAGCCAAATACTTTTAGATGACTCAAATCTGGCTTTGTTCCATACCACCGCTTATAGGGTGTTTGCAAAGACTGTTGTAGGTCAGATATGCAGCTGTGGCTACTGCTTCAGCCCAATAACTATCAGGCAATCCAGCAGGAGCAAGCATTGATCTGGCTGACTCCATCAGGGTGCGATTCATTCTCTCAGCCACTCCATTTTGTTGAGGGGAATAAGGAACTGTTAGCTCATGTCGTATTCCTTTTGTCTTGAGATAGGCTTCGAACTCTTGCGAAACATATTCCCCACCATTGTCTGACCGTAGTGTGCACATTCGTTGACCACTATCAGTTGTTGTGGCTGCTTCAAATTCTTTGAACTTGTCTAGCACCTCTGACTTATGTCGCATGAAGTAAACACTGCAGCATCGAGAGTAGTCATCAATGAAGGTGACGAAATATTTTCTTCCTCCAATTGACTCAGTGGGCATTGGCCCACACACGTCGCTATGCACACACTGCAGCTTTCTTTTAGAGCGAATCTCTCCCACTGGCTTGAAAGGTTTCCTTTGCATTTTCCCTTCCACGCAGCCTTCGCAGAAAGATAGCTCAACTCTCTTTGGGATCTTCACTCCAGACACTAGTTCATGCGTGACTATTTCCTTGAGTACTGATTCACTCGATGGCCTAGCCTCTGATGCCAGAGGTCAACGTCGTTTGCGTTTTCGGAAGCAACTGAGGCATGCTCCTGTAAAACTGGCTCACAATTCAACTGATACATCTTGTTTTGTAATGTCCCCATACCACAAAGATTGCCCCTGCTGTTTCTAATCCAGCATTTTGTACTGCCGAATTTCACAACATTTCCTTTGGAGGCTGCTGCCCTTACTGAGAACAGATTACACGCAAGCTTTGGGATGTAAAGTACACCATACATTACACACCTCTTTGGGTCGCTGACTTTGAATTGCATGTTCAGGTGAACATTTCCAACACCAATGGCTTCAACAGTACGACCGTCCCCTAGACTGACTTTCTCTGGTTTTTCAAATTCCTTGTAGTCTTTCAGCAGATCCCTCTTGCAGGTCATGTGGCTAGATGCTCCAGAATCTACCAGCCATTCTGTGGTCGTTTTGCAGAAACCACAAATGCTCCAGTACTTCGTTCTGAGTGGCCCTCTTCTGGTTTGGCAGAGTGAGGTTTCCCTGACTTGTTGGACTCCTTTTTGGGGCAGTCTCGACGAAAATGTCCTGCCTCGCCACAGCCATAGCATCTAAACTTCTTTCCCTGCTTTCCAACCAGTGCTGATTGCTGTCCCCCACCCACTTTCTCCCTCACTCACCGGTAATTTATCTCTGTTCTTCTTCTGCTCCTCGTGGAGAAGAGCCTGCTGAACATAGCTCAGCGACAATTCGTCTACGCGCGCTTCGAGTGCCGTCACCAGAGTGGAATAACTTTGTGGTAGACTTCCCAGCAGTATTACAACTTCGTCTTTCTCAGAGATTGGGGCACTGATCGCTGCAAGCTTGTCAGTAAGCTCTTTCATATTCTTTAGGTGAGCTTCCACGGATGTGCCTTCTTTCATCTGTAAGCAGGTTTCAGCTGTCGCACACACTGGTACCAGAATAACAGGTTTCAGACAGCTGTCTCACACACTAGGGCACCAGACTGACTACTGTAGTCATGTTCACACCACTGTAATGGTCATGTTCGCGTGTATGTTGTTGCCCAGATCATCACCAATGCACAAATAGTCACAGCCTATAAAAGTGATGTTGTAAAATGTATATTCGCTCTCGGTTCCTAAGATTGCTGTCAGTCAACAACCAGCTCAACCGTATTGCGCGAGCACCCGTCCCTCGGCGTTAACTTCGGCCAGATTACACATCTCTGTTCGGAAATACTGCTTCTTTAGCATCAATTTGTTGGCCAGCGTGTCACGTTCGAAATGATTGCGAAGTGCATCCCAAGCGTCCTTCGGCTGCTCAACCGAGGTGATCAGGTACAGCTGAGAGGAGCTGATCGCCATGACGATTGTGGAGAACGCCCTCTGCGACTTCTTTTGGAACTCCGCTCGTACCTGGGCTATTGCGCCTTCCCTGAGAACTTCCACACCATCCACATAACCCCACAGTCCCTTCGCCAGAAGGAGATGCCGCATCTGGAACTTCCAGGTTGTCCAGTTCGAACCGTCCAGCTTATCGATTGACCAATTTTTCCGCCATGAACCCGGCCACGAGCGAGGGCGCTCATGGTCACAAGCTGTATCGCTAACGTCCAATGAATCAGTAACAGTTCTCGGCGCCGCAGTAGTTCATGCGCTGACTGGGCTGTTGGCATATGCGCGGCCTTGAACTAGACTTGAACTGCAATTATCACAATAGTGCAGCAGGGCAGAGAGCGAATGATACAAAACTCAAGACCTTTTTATAGTAACCTATGATGTTCTAGAATGTTCTAGCATAGTCTGTAGAGTGCACGTGGTGAGAGTATTCTGTAGTGTTCTGGAAGATTCTGGGATGTGGTCAACCTGTAAATTACATTCTTTCCACACTCACATCATCTTATTAACCCTCGGCGCGCATGCGCAGCGAGGGTTACAGTAGTTGGGTTTGTCTGTCTGTCTGTTACTCTTCATCTCACTTCTCGAGTGTTCTTTCGTCTCACAAAGGATACCACCTACCGAACGGGCAATGAAGGTCAGAAATCCGAACGGTTTTCTCAGAAAACGCTCCGTTGCAAAGCTAAAGCGCTTCCACCTTTGTATATACGGCTAATGCCATTTTTATCGCTGCGGAAAATGCGCATGCGCTTATATTTAGCACAGGACCGGGTCTGCTTCTCTGTGTATTTTGAAGGCACAAGAAGTCACAACGAAGGGCGTGTATCAACTCTCGCATGCTAATCTACTACTGTAGCTAGCCCGTGTCAGACTCTCTGCGAGCTATAATATACTAGCGGGAGACCGCGAGTAAACGCATACTAATATACCGCGCATGCGCAGTTCGCCGAGGGTTTGCTTTTCATTTTCACATCGTTTGTGTTGGCAATACTTTATGCCCATTCCCATTTATCATCCTTATATTTACTGCGCGAAGCATACTCTGCAACTCTGCGTATACCTAGTTATAATTATTATGTACTGTTTTTGCTTCCAGAAATTGCATTCTTGTCCCATACTTGTACTTGGCATGCATGTGCAGCGAGGCTTAGAGTAATTGGTCTGGGAATAAGTACCAATTAGAGAGAAAGACATTTTCTGACTTTTTTTTTCAACAAAAACTTGTGAAATGTCTGCAAAAATGATGCCAAATGTTTCCGCTATTGACTGTGGAATCAGTGGCAATGTACAAATTGTTATGGCAAAGTAGTAAAAGAGAAGAATTCAAGGATGTCAGAGGTAGTCAGCGAAAAAAGAAGGAAAATAGAAAGGGGAGGGAGACAACCAGATTAGGGGAAAGCAATCACCACAAAATGGCCATTTTTGGCATTATGTGCCCCACAATATCCTCATTTTGTTGCATGTTAATGCCGTAAAAAAACAAGTAAATAAGAATTTTAAAAATGGTGAATGTAGGGATGGTATAAAAAGAAAGGAGACAAGATAGGGATGACCTAGTGTATGTAATGCAGTAGTACAATGGCTCCATACTTGCTTGCTGGTATAAATATTTCCTTCCCTATATTGTCACCGCTTTTGTTGGTTTCAGAGGAGGTTGGACAAGGTGCAATTTTCACGTGACCAAATAACATGGCTTTGAATTCAATTAGGCGCATTTACCCTCAGTGTCCTGCTTTTTCTTGGCGAGAAGGGAGAATTTTCCAGACATTAAGCTTTGAAACAGTTCAGAAGAAAGGTAGAAAGCCTGCGTAAAGAAGCTACAATGTTTATTAGTTTACTTCCAGTTCTCTTGTTTTCAGCCAAATCGTTGTATAAACACTGTCACAGGTTCATCTCAAGTAGAAAACCATCGTGGACGTTTGCAGGGCTGAATTGAGTTCTTGCTTTTCCATTGAAAATGTATGGCACGGGAACGACGGAATTACACGCTGGATCACGTGACCATGTCCAACTTCCTCACAACTCATAACAGAGGAGCTGTCAGAGAGGACAACACCTGTGAATTACCTGTCTGGTTTGCATAACAAATGAGTCATAGCTGCACATGGAGGGAGCACACTCATGCTTAGAGACAATATAGGACTTGGAAATTTTATACTAGCAAGCAAAGCCAGTTAAGTATGGGACCATCATCCATTGTACTACTGCATTACATACACTAGGGCATCCCTATCTTGTCTCTTTTACATCCCTATATTCACCATCTTTTTATTACTTGTGAACGCATCAAGTAAAAATAGGGTGTTTGCCACATTATAATGTTTCCCTGTGTACGCGAGCATAGCACGAGCCATATACACGGGCGGATGGGAAATCCCTCACGTAGAGCGCAATGCGCGTTGCGCGTAATGCTCTCGCGCGGTTCTGGTGTGGCCATATCGCGCGTGCAAATTCTCTATTCATTGTACTACGTAATTCATTCACAAACTCAAACTTGTCCCTATGTGTCATAACCCATATTTTTGCTTGATGTGTTCACACTTGTTATTATAATGTGTTGTCATGCATCAGTGGTTCCTCCTCCCACCCCCCTCCTTTTTTAGCCCTTCTTATGTTTGTTGTTTTCCACTTTACCCTATAATGGTAAAACCACTTTACACTATCTCTCCGTTTTCGGTTAATGCCTCGCCTCTACTTCCCTCCTTTATCTTTTTTGAAATTTAACTTACACTGGACCACAGCTTACTATTACCTGTGGCATCCAAATATTATTCTTCTCCTTGCATTTCAGGTACTAATTTTCCTTCATTAACCCTAGGCCTATATGCGCAGCGAGGGATACAGTACTTGGTCTGTCTCTCCATCTGTCCGTTTGTTTGTTTGTCGATGCTGGCACCACAAGCTATGAGGCGGCCTATGCCAATGGCTAATGGTTTCAGAACTAAGCCAACCTGAAAAATATAATGGCCAGTTTCCTGAAACGACTGCGTAAGAGGGATATGCCATAAAACAAGTGAAAAAGCCAATATTACCGGGCTTACCTCAACCTGTGCCACGTACCTTGATGGCACAAAAACACACAACGAAGGGAGGGTAAATGCATACTCAGCCCATTAATTAGTGGTACCGCGTGTGCGTAGTGCGCCGAAAGTTTGCACTTTAGTGCTTCTCATTTGTACATGGCCGCTGACAGGCAGTAGTCAGAACTTTTGTCATCAAAAAAGTAGTGTTTGTTTAATAACAGAACCCAGTCTGTCTATCTCTCTGTCTATCAGATACCAATATTATAGCTCTAAAGGTGTAGCCTGAAGTTGCAAGTGGCCAATGAGCGATACAAATGGGCTTCAGTGAGGCATACGTAGGTATCATTTCTTCTGTACATTTCGATTCTGACATTACTAGTATCGCCTGTGTCCGGTCTGAGTCAGCTGCCGACGCACACGCACTCCTTGTCTACATTCAATTACTGACATACTAATTAAGACTTCAATAAGGGAGATGACCATCAACTTTGGCAGAATGATGCTCTGTACGCAGAAGCACTAAAGGCTTGCCTAGTACTAGTAATTGGACAGATATGCAGCATGATGGTAAATATGTGGAATGAGAACGGACACTTTCTACCGTCTTAGCCTGGAGCACTGTAACTCAACTTGTGTCATTCTGTGTATTACTTTAGTAATACACAGAATTTAGGAACTTTAAACCAAAGCTGAATTGCGTTAAGTATGGAAGAATGGAATCCTAGTGTTCATACCGTTTAAAGTGATGTTGCAGCAATAATTGTGTACATTAAAACACTCTGGAAACACAAATTTATAGGTACAGAATATGGTGATGCAGAAAGACTTGACTGCAGTTTAATTCATTCTGTTCTTGGCGAAAGGTATATTACACATAAATTGATGAGTGTACAAATTTGAGGCCAACACACTTTAACTCTGATGATAAAAGTACAGAAACAAGTGGTGGTTAGATCTTTCTGGGGAAAACAATTTAAATATTGTGTATGTAGTGGTTGCAAGGAGACAAAGGGAGGGTGACCTGTAGCACAGGGGATGAGGGCTACATAATTCAACACTTGCTCATGCACGTTTTCCACCCTATATTGTTAACACACACTGCGTCATTCACTGATATGAAGTGATTTAAAAAATGGCAAAAGGATGATACTGTACAGCCAAAGAGTACTGCAGAAACATAGCTGATTTTTGACATGGAGGAGCAACTAATTTAGTCGCACAACTGACAACCAAGAAGCTGTCAAATGTGCTCTGTTGATGTCTTATGTTCTCTAGTTACAAATGAGTCATGACTGCATGTTAGCTATACCAGGGAGCTCACTCACTCATGTGTAGCTTTGCAACAGATTAGGGGTTTTGTGGTGGAAAAGGTGCATGAGCAAGCTATGTGAGAGTGAAGTATGTAGCCCTCATCCATTGTACTACTGAATTACATACACTAGGCCATCCCTGTCTTGCCTCCAGTCCTGCTTTTTACTGGATCCCTTTACTCCAAACGGAAGAATTTTGTGTATATATACTAGTATTTGTCCCCTTCTTCATTAACTCCACCTCATGTGATAGAAATTGTTGGATAAAAGTGCCAGGTATAATGCCGATGGTGAGTGATTGCCTTTCGCTAGCTTGAATAGTAGCTGCTAGTGTTGTGTTCCGTTTGGAACAAATGACTGTAGTAATTCCATGTTGATAAGGTGTCTGTCTATTATATGTCGCGAAAACACGTGTAAAACGGTATTAATTTCTTGCCCCAGATGACATATTGATCAAGGTACAAATGACATCTAATAGTGTTAATTCTGTGTGCACAAAGGGCATGAACTAATTGAAACTATCAAACAGAATGGTTTTGGCCTAAAGTTAAGATGACCAATGAAGTTTGACCAACCTGCTTTCTCCATTGTGCTTTGTGTCATTCTAGCCAGGTGGCTTAGGCGAAAGAGCACTAGTGAGGAAGGACACAAGAGCATGATCGAAGATCTGACTAAAACTTGTGTATAGGTGTCAAGAAGCTATGAGTAGTCAGGTTCTGAGCTGCTTAGCTGAGCGAGCTGACATAGTAGTTGTTTTTTCAGTGCATTTTTAAATGTAAGTTTCCAACTGCATGGCATTGTGTTTCATTACAGACGGAATGCTTTGCAGCTTTTTCGTAGCTTGCTATTGGGCTTTTATGTTCTCTCTCTACACTAGCCAGTAGAGTCTCACCCGACTCAGTGCTCGTAGAGCCAGTTCATCTCTAGCAGAACTTCAAACACAATATATGTAGGGGGTGTTTCATTGGCTATTCACAGCACCTCAGTTTGTGCACATATCTGTGTTAGACATGGGATGTGCCAATAGCCAAACTAACATTTCTCTAGTTGTGCATATTATTTTTTACAACAGATCATGCATTGAAGCAGGTACTGTAATTGAGTACTGCATTTTGGAAGAAGGAGTGTCGATTGGGAGAAACTGTCTCTTGAGTAACCTTCACGTACCAGTAAGTTTAATACTTTGCAGAGGTGGACTGATCTTATGTTCAAGTAAATTAAAAATCCTGCAAATTTTTAAAAAGAGGCATATAGGGATGGTATAAAAAGAAAGGGAGACAAGATAGGGATGGGATACATGAAGCATGGTTAATGAACAGATTTGAGTACGCTGACACCCCCAACCCCGTCACACAATCCCTATAATGTTGCCTGGTGTGCTACTCTTATAGGGGCTAAAAGCAGGCATTCTTTCACCGTGTCCCTGTTGTTTTTAGTAACATTTATACTGCCACATTCCCTTTAAATAAACTCCACTTGGACTCTATAAGGGTATTGGTTACTCAGTAGTGTATTGTAAGCTCTGAGTATTGTAATGGTGAATGTTTAATACTTCACCTAGGCACAATATAGGGATTGTGTGATGGGGTTGGGGGTGTCAGCGTACTCAAATCTGTTCATTAATCTGTAATTTTGATGTTGTAATTTTGATGTTGGTGATTGAGTACATTATGTCTACAAAGTTCACATAGCTCTTACCATTTGTGAGTTATACTGACACATGTGATCCCATTATAATGTATTGCCTGGGGCTATTTTGTTGTTGTCAAATAAGTATGGCCAGTCTCTTCGGGTGATGGATATCTACATTCTTACAAATTTCATTACTGCATGTTGTTTCGTTTTGGATGTTGAATCTGAAGAAGAAGAAGGAGAAGAAGAAGATGAACAAAACTCCATATCATAGCCCCATACATCTATGATGCTAGGTACCATGCCCATCCCTATTTACTAAGTACTACCGTACTTAGTGATTTAACCAGAACTCCCCACATTTCCTTATTGCCAGTAACTCTAGTCGAAGTATGGTCTAATAAACCACATGCAAGGTGTTGATTTTTCACATTTAGTGAGTGTAAGTGATTCCTGACGATATATTTTTCCTTGTGCTTCACATGAGTTTCTACTTCCCCCTTAATTTCTATACTAGAAACATGGGTCAGCTTGTGTGTAAATAATTGTATCCTGCCTGCGGTTTAATAGTACAAATGCAAAGATTTTATCAGGTGTTTCTATCCAATTTGCTCTCACTCGATGCCCAAATATCATCTGAACTTAAAACTTAGTTTCAGACCCCATGCACTTTTAATACACAAGAGTTGATCAAACTATCTATGCTATCCATTATCTCAGAGTATGCAAATTACTTTTGTGTTAATGTTCGGCACCTGTGCAAATGGGATGTACATTACCTTTTCTTTCACGTGGGCCTAGGAAAGCGGCTAATAGGAACCGTATTTAACCCTCGGTGCTTTTGCAGCGAGGGTTATATGGTGATTGGTGTGTATCCATCATTCCTTTTATCTGTGAGTAGCTTGTATCAGGCTAGCAGAGATATGAATAGCACATGGCCCAGCTCATCATAGCATTACAGATCACACACATACATAATATTACGAGTAGACTCACAGGCGAATGAACCAAGGGTTTGCACTTTAGTTTGTCATTTAGGAAGTTGAAAAATCGTTTATTAATTGTAGGGGGATATAAGAATGGGTTGAAGCACCTAAAAGGAAGAAACAAGTGGTCATTACACAGCAAAGACATACAAAACTAAATGACACCATCATTGTCAGGTAAATATTTGCCTACGTATCAATGGATGGTGTCTTGTGTGTCTTTGCTATGTAATGACCCCTGGTTTCTTCCTTCCTATACCCCCTTATTTTAATTAACCCTCGGTGCACATGCGCAGCGATGGTTACAGTACTTGATCTGTGTGTGTGTGCCACCAACCACGCGCAACAAACCGGCCAAAGCGCAACACCAACGGATTCAGCACTACACTGGCTTCATTTTCAAAGTGGTGCATTCAGTGAGTCGACAGCAATAACTGGAGTGTACACGTACGTGCGAATGGCACTTTTTTCATCAGCAAATGAACAAAAGTTATAGCATGAAAACCAAGTCAACAAGCTAATATGCTAATTAACACAGGCTTACCTTGACTGGGTCTGCTCGCTCTGAAGGCACAAGAAGTCACAACAAAGGACGTGTATCGACTACCACATGCTGTCTACTACTGTCGCTAACCCGTGTCAGATTCTCCGCGAGCTACTAGCATGGAGACCAAGAGTAATCGCATACTAATAGCCCAGCCCATCAATTAGTGGTACCTCCCATGCGCAGTTTGCCGAGGGTTTGCTCTTTAGTACTTTTATGAACAGCTCTGGCTCCATGGCATTTACTTATTATGGTGACACTGATGTGCATGGGGTGAACATTCAACTGATTCGACTTGTTCACCACTGCCTAATAGACCAAGCACCATGCACTTGCCAGGCGTGCAGAGGGAGGGTTATGGTACTTGGTTCGTTAAGTGTGTCTGTCTATCATTTCTTACCATGTTTTCCACCAAGACGCGCAACAAGACAACAAAAGTGATGCCAGGGGGTTCAGTACTATGCTTGCTTGATTTTGAATTTAACGGTTTTGTGTTTAAACTTATGGCATGAAAACTAAGTGAAAAAGCAAATACGCACAGACTTACCAATCTGCTTTCTTGTGCATCCACCAAACGTTACAATGGATGAGCGACTATGATGTCCTGTATGCTATGTACTAGTGTAGCTAGCCAGTGTCCGACTCTCAGCAGGCTTCGAGAGACATTAACACACCGTACCCCATTAAAAAAAGCCCTAGCTGTAGCAGACATGAACATGCATATTGGTGTACTTACCCGTGCATTTCGAATGTGCCAAGTGTTTGCATTCTAGTGCTAAATTGGTAGTCTAGAGCTTCATGCTCATGCATCTACGTAGTTCAATGTAGAGCTTAGTTCCTTTCTTTTATTTATGAAATTTCTAGATGAATGCAGTGATCCCCAGCAACACATTTATTCACACAGTGACACTGTTGGTACAGCACGAAGTGTTATATGCAACCTGTGTCTTTGGTAAGGTATATGTTTTTAAAGTGTTCTGCTGGTTGTTATATGTACTCCCCCCACTGTAGGTGTTAATGATGACCTTAAGAGAACATTACCTAGAAGCTGCGCGTTTGAATTGGAGTTTCTTAATCTCCCTCTGGTTAGTGAATAATCCAATGAACTGGGGTACTAAAATTTATGTACAATTTCTATACAATGTACATATGTTAGGGGAATGACTTACATACGTAGGTTGTAGTGACAATCTCTAAATAGGTTATACTGCGCGTCAATGGAAATACGCGATTTAGACGGCACGAGGGGTGCTGTAGCTGTCTGAGCGCAGCGAAGACGCTACTAAGGGCTCCGAGGCCGTCTAAATTGTGTATTTCCATTGACAAGCAGTATAACCTGTTTAGACGGAGGCCATGCTGGCCGTCAAAATCGTCCAGGTCCGTCGTCTTCCGCGAGACTCGCTCTCGCTGGGGGAAGCTAAAAAGGTCTTCATTTTAGTTTATTTTTGCGTCGTAGAGAGGCCTTTCATCGAAGAAGCATCGGATATAGCGAGTTTGAAGTCGTTGCGGCGAGCTCTCAGCGACGGAGCGAGTTTCTTTGCGCAGAAGCTTGCCACACCCCCATGAAAGACGCCATTTTTTGGCAGGGGGTCTCCGTGAAAACACGCACTTGGAAAATACAGGATTTAGAATCCACGTTTTACACAATCTGATTGGTCAATTTGAATCTGCCGACGTCTAATGACTCTTAAGAGAGAGCCTTTGCCTCTACCCAGTGTTGATGCTACTGTCACTAAAACTGGTTACCAGTAGTCCATTCAATCTGTTCCTCATGTATCCTTATTAACCCTCGGCGCGCATGCGCAGCGAGGGTACTGTAGTTGGGTCTGTCCGTCTGTCCGTCCGTCCGTGTGTCTGTTACTCTCAATCTCACTTCTCGAGTGTCTGTTCGTCTCACAAAGGATACGACCTACCTAACGGGCAATGAAGGTCAGAAAGTTCGAACAGTTTTCTCTGAAAATGCTCCGTTGCAGAGCTAGAGTTCTTCCGCCATTGTACGGCTAATGCTAGTCGGCCATTTTTATCGCTGCGGAAAATGCGCATGCGCTTATATTTTGAACAGGCTCGGGTCCGCTTGTTCTGTGTCTGTGTATCTTGAAGTCACAACGAAGGGCATGTATCGACTCTCGCATGCTATCTATATACTACTGTAGCTAGCCCGTGTCAGACTCTCTGCGAGCTACTAGCGGGAGACCACGAGTAAACGCATACTAATAGCAGCCCAGCCCATCAATCAGTGGTACCTCGCATGCCCAGTTCGCCGAGGGTTTGCACTTTAGTGCTTTTCATTGGGTCTGTCTGTCTGTCTGTCTGTGTGTCAGTCTGTTACTCGTCATCTCACTTCTCGAGTGTTCGTTCGTCTCACAAAGGATACCACCTACTGAACGGGCAATGAAGGTCAGAAAATATGTGTGGTTTTCGCTGAAAACGCTCCGTTGCAAAGCTAGAGCGCGAAAAAGCCAATATGCAAATACACAACGGCTTACTACGGCATGATCGATCCGCGTGCTCTGCGTACCTTGGAGGCACCAGAAGATGCAACGCAGGGCGTGTATCGCCTCTCGCATGCTATCTAGTAGTGTAGTTAGCCCGCGTCAGACTCTGCGCGAGCTGGCAAGAGACCATGGGTAACAGCTAAAACTAAACCCAGCCCAGCAATTAGTAGTACGGCGCATGCGTTTACTTACGCGTGCGCGTCACAGTACGCCGAGGGTTTGCACTTCAGTGCTTTTCATTGTATTATTTTCTCTCTCTCTCTCTCTAGACCTCAGTATTAGGTATAGGCACAAGTGAGTGTACTACAGATGACTTATGGCCAGCAGTGAGTGTGCCAATATTGAAACTGAACTGTATCAACAAGTATGCACAATAATGAAGCAAGTCCTAGTACGTACACAGTATGCATGCCATTTTGGTGCAGCACAAAGATAACAGTAGGGACCAAGGGTTTCTTACATCAAAGCTGCACTAAAATCCTCTGTGGTCACAAAAGTGCCAGGCAATGACTAATTAATCCTCGGTCGCAGCGAGGGTTACTGTACCAAGTCTGTCTGTCTGTGTGTAGGTGTGTGTGTCGACACTTATTATGGCTCTACAGAGGCCTATGAGGCTTCCAAACTATGAGAGACTGAAAAATACAATGCCAGTTTTGTTCGTGAAATGACTGCATTCGAGAAATATGGTGTGAAAACAAGCAAAGAACAATATGCATAGTCACACAAGTTTACCTCGAACTGATCCACTTGCTTTGTGTACTTTGGAGGCAGAAGAAGTCGAAATGTAGAGCATAATATCGACGTTAGTATGCTATCTATTAGTGCAGCTATTCTGTGCCAGACTCTTCACGAGCTAGTAGTGGGAGACCATGCTTAAACACATACTCATAACCCAGCCCATCAATTAGCGGTACCGTGCATGCGCAGGTGCGCCAAGGGTTGCATTATAGTGTTCATTTCTTGTTTCCATAGTTACTTTCAGCATCTCTGAATGCTGTTAACCTACAGTTGGTGTATAGGTAATATGTTCATCGGTACCTCAAGATCTGTTTGTAGCCACAGCTACTATGCCACCGCCAAGATTTGGCATTGGCATAGTAACCGACATAATGGCAGGCTTGGGTGTTGCATGCAGTAGAATGGTTGTTTGGAGCATTAAATTGTAAACTGTATTTGAACACCAAGCGACAAGGTGCTTGAATTAGTCAGTAGGACGACAGTGTTTTTGCCGAAAGAAAATAGGTTTCTCATGAGTATGAGGGCGATACAATATGTGAAGCAGCAAGTGTGAGTGTGCGCGAAGAGGGAAGCAACTAAAGTCCATTTCTTCTATGTTCACAGCATTTTTATTCTACCTGCCAAAGTGTGACTAAGTGGGTATTAGTAGGCATCATGGTGTAAAAGGATTGCTAAGTATGATGTTAAATGAGAGAAACTTTGATGAAAATGGGCAGTACGGCATGTGCGTAATGAGACGAAATCTACACGGTGGAAGCTTAAAACTTGGTGTAATAATACTTATAGTGCTAGTACCAACTGCTCACCTCTGAGGCAAGCTCAAGAAACTTACCGTAAGTCAAGTTTGCGAAGATTACACGGAGGATATTAGGTGTGTATGTTTTCATGCCTGTAAAGTTGGATGTCGAGTCTTCATCGTTTCATGATTAGAACTACGACACCTCTTTAACCAAGCACTATCAGTAATTGAAGCAGCTTCGTGCACTCAACCATCGCAAGCTGTGCTCCCACAATATCTTTTACTGGAAATTTCTTTGACCTTACGGGCAGCAGCTTTTGTGCCTACTCGGATGCATTGTTGGCAATGGCACACTATTCCATCACTTAAATCAATATGATGGCCTTCTCTCCTTTGTGTGTCACAAAAGCTGCAGTCTTGTGAACTGCAGCTTCTTGGTCCTTAGCCAGGGCCATCAGGCTGCTTAACCAAACACAATAGGACCAATAAAACTAGCACAAGCATGAATGTTGGCGGTAGTGGGATGGGAGAGTGGGTGGAGCCCCGCAGGCTGCGACATCATTGGGGGTGTATTCCCGCAGACAGGTTTTGATTTGATGTTCGCATTTCTTCACCTTTCTTGTTGCTATCTATAATAGGTGTCTTTTGTCAGTGTTGACTGTTGGTGGTGAGTGGATTTAGCATGCTTTTTAAGCTGTTAGCAAACGCCAATGTGCTGCACGCACATGAGTCCCTCCCTTCATTTTTTCAACATTACGCCCTCACGCATGCATAATTTAATCGGGGGCGAAGTCACATGATCCGCTAATGAACAATCATTCACCTTAAGTCCATCCAATGTAGTATGGCGTAAACACTACCCACAAATACTCTTAGCCTGTGTTTTAGTGACATTGTCATATGTTCACAGTGTTAGTGGCGCGATTTTCACACAGATAGTGTGCGGTGAAATTTTGGCTGCTGCTGACTCACGTATAGCTGGTTGCATTAAGTGCTGGTTGCATTAAGTAAATGTCAACAAGTACTGTTTTTGCCCCAGTGTGTGTTACTAGATAACGATGACCTCTGTGTTTGTGGGGTTCCAAGTGTGGCAAGAGCACTACGGAGGTTCCTATAGATTCTGAGTATATAGTAAAAAATCTCTTTAAAATCTGTGCACAGTCAAAAGTGGTCTTGTGTGTGCAAACGGTCCAGTGGCGTAGCCAGGATTGAATCTTAGGGGAGGCAAATGGGCATTCGCATTATTTATTATTCAAGATTAATTGCGCGCATGCGCAATGATGTTGCGCAATGTCAGTGTTTACTCGCGATGATCGCGGAAGGCCAGGGCAATACGGCGATGCCTGGAGCGATCCCAGTCTTGTAAGATACTCTCTGGAGGTGATGTCCGATCTTGGTTGATGTAACCCAGTGCTGGCGCTCGTCGTCGGTTACACTGCGAAAAGTTGTAACAAATTATTCAGAAGTCGGAAAAACAGAGGAGGCAACTGCCTCCTCTGCCTCAAGCCCCCTGAAACCCCCATACAAAGTGCAGGAACCATGAAATATTCCCACAGCAGAAGCAGCCCATCCTCTTTACTAACATTTTTATTCTTGATCCTAGAATGGTGACTGCAACCTTTGGACTGCTAAATTATTTCCTGCCTGTTCTAGCAGAAAACAATCCTGTGAAGCTGCCCTTTTAACGATTGCTGCAATTAAAGAAAATGGTTTATTCACTTTCTTAAGTAAGTAACAGTGTTTTGTTTTTTTGCTGCAATTGCATACAATTGGTGCCAACTGCATTTTCGCTCTGTGTGCATGGACAACGCATTATGTGATCGGTGTCTGTTGTTGTCGTCGTCGTTGTTTGCATAGATTTAGAAATCTGGTGAGAAAGCTTTATGCAACTAAGCTAATGTTATTGTAACAGCCAGCACCTATCAACGTATGTAACTGTGTATGGCCCTCTTTATCACAGTATTCACCAGGCCACAGCATGCCAGGGTCGGGATAGCTTCCGATTATCCCCCTGCAGAAACTGTATGTAGACCAACTCACCAACCTGATTGGTTGCATTCCGGCAGGTTTTGTCGTAGTTGCGCTTCTCCTCCAATTGCAAACTTGTGAACATGAAAGAGATTCAGTACCAACTCCAGTTCGCCAGTACCAACTTCAGTACGCCATGAAGGTATTGACCCCAACGATGACCGAATTTGGCAGCATGTTTGCATAGCATCGTCTTCAATGTCAGGTTACATTGAGCCGGATTCAACAAGATCAGGTCTTGGTGTTGACCTCCATTGTAACGTGTCTTCGGTCTCTCAGACACAATCTCTTAGTCTACTCGATGATGGATGACGGTAAGTGTGTTTCTAGTCAAGCTTGTCGTGATCTGCTACATGCACATACAAAACTGGGAAATCTTGTGTTAGCTCTACCATGTACGTACCTATGGAGATGGAAGCAAGAAGTAGCAAATAAGAACTGAGAACTGAGGCAATTATTTCGCACAAGTGCACAAGTGCACAAGGCATTGATACCTGGGCAAACTACAAACATAGAACATTTGCCCACCGAGTTAAACCCTTGAGGTGCAGACACAGATGAGCACAGAAGCACTGCTAATGTCACACAGTTAGCCACCTGCTCTCTTGCACTCCCTCCTAAGACTCCACCATCGTTTAACGTCCAAGAGTTGGCAGAATTTGGTCCAAATGATGGTATCACCAAGTACAGTAGTACTTAGTATAATTATTGTAGGGATGACACAGGTTGTCCTGCATTATGCCCATACATTTGAGATTTGTTATGTTTCACTTTCAGTTTCAATCAGATCCAATATCTTACACAACAGTCTGATTCGTATAGTCAAAAAACACATGTACCCAAGAAATGGCTTAAATCTAGTAATCGGTAATTGATTTATTCAAGAAAGTCAGTTTTAAAAATTCTTCTTGTTCAGTTTCGACACGCGTATCTCAAAAACCAGGAAGATACGGAGATAAAACCTTGCACAAAGATTCGAATCCATGGCAGGTCGTACAAGAGCATATTACTTTGTTTGTAAACAATGTTGTTTACAAGTCAAAAAAAACAAAAAACAACAAGAAATAGGCCCAGGCCATACATTATGACAAGGGACCAATAAAGTGTGTTAACATGTGCAACCCATATTGGTATCTAAATGTGTGTCTCCTCGGTGGTCATCCCACAGCGTCTCCTGGGTGGTCGTCCCGCAGTAAACATTACAAGTTTGGAAACAACAACAGCCTCAGGCAGTAAAGCAGTAAAGTGCCTATAACTTGCTTATGGTGGGTCCTATAACAATGAAACTTGGTACACTGATGTACCATGATAACAGTTGGTGGAAACAAAGTTAGTTACACAAGTTTGTGCCTATAACTTGCTGAAGTTGGGACCTCTCACAATGAAACTTGGTGCACTGATGCACCATGATGAGAGTTCATCCAAACCAAAATTACAAGTTTGTAAACAACAACATACAGCCCCGTAAACAACAACAAACAGCCTCAGGCAATAAAAACTTGGAAGTGGTCTATAAAATTGTTTGTGGTTGGTCCTCTAACAGTTAAACTTGGTACACCGATTAACCATTATAAGAGTTCATTGAATAAAGTAATTACAAGGTTGTAAACAATAACAAACAGCCTCAGAAAAAAGACTATTAATGGTGTTGCCTTTATGGTGGGTCCTCTCACAATCAAACTTAGTGCGCTGATGTACAAGAAACAAACCATAAAATGCAAGGAGACAAGACAGGGATGACCTAGTGCATGTGATGCAGTAGTACAATGGATGATGATGGTTACATCTTCAAACGGACATTTCTTGCTCGTGTAAATTTTACTCCACACAAGCCCTGTATTGTCGCCACTCCTAGTCATGACATGGTGAATGATGTAGTGTGAAGACTGACAAAAGGTTTTTGTATAGAAAGCAGCATTGCAAAACTGGTTAATTGAGTGTACATTGAAGTAATTACAGTCACGATTGAAAACTGAGGATCTGTCAGAGAGGGCATTAGCTACCAGTCTTACGTGCATAGGAAACGAGTTATCAGAGTCGGAAATGGATGTTTAAAAGTGGGAGGCTCACTTTTTAACCCAGAGAACATTTTTAGCGCCAGTTTTTTTACAAGTAGCCCAGAAAAATCAGTAGTTACAAATATTTCATACATTCATCTTGCCTATGAATAAACTCCTTGGCAACTAAAGGGAGATCTAGAGCATCTGTATAAGACTTGTGGACATGTAGTAGGAGGCAATTGTTCGGCCTTTTCTCGGTCATTGTTGAACGTAAATAAGTTAAAAGGTGTCGTATAGCAGAGATGTGGCAGATGTAATTGGAATGGTCATGTATAAACGAACCAAGTTGTGAACTGAAGGTAACATATACCTGTAGACATTGTTGCAGTTAAGGGCCTCACATATGCTGTGGATAGATGTTACATTTTGTAAAATGGGGTTAGATGTTTTACAACATCTTGTAAGAGAGGTAAGTGCCTCATTTTTAAAGCAGAAAACTTAAACTGCAGACAATTCAAGGATTCGTAGTAGATGTGACGATAAAATGCTCTAGGATTGGGATACTCATGTGGCATGCTCCCATCTTCAATCCTTGCTGGACGACATCTATACCTTTGGAGTTGAGGGTCACCAATTATGCTCCTCGGCAGCACTAACAGCTGCACAAAAGAAGCGGTCAAACTCTTCCGCAGAACGAAGCCTGCTGTAGTATGGTCTAGCTGATTGACTGCAGGAAGGGCATCTTACAGAGTTATATTCTTTTTCTGTAGTGGCACTGAGACCTGCTCAGCAGCACTGGAGAGAGTATGAGCCAGTTTGAGGCCAAAGAGCATAGTGAAAGGCTCAAGAGAGTGAAGAAATCCATGTGCTTTTAATCCATACTCATCATGCGTGGTAGAATAGATATCTTCTAGTGTTTCCATCAAAACTACATAATCTTTGAGAACTGCATCTATTGCAGCAGTATGAACTGTCCATTTAGTAGGCCAGAGAGGTTTCGAACTTTTCCCACCCCTTTTGGCACTTAAATTTGATGGAAAAAGGAAAGAACGTTTTGGAGACAATGCAATTAGTTTGTAAATTGCTCTGGTTACACGTTAAAACTGACATTTCTTGCTTGTGTAAACATTCCTTCACACAAGCCCTATATATATTGTCTCCACTCTTACTCATGAAATGAGTTTGGTTAGTGAATGGTGTAGTGTGAAGACTGGCAAAAGGATTATGTATAATTTTTAAAAAAGCAGCATTCAACTGGTTAGTTGAGCGAACATTGCAGTCTTGGGCTTCAAATAGAGCGACGATCCAAAACTAGGACCTACTAGCTACCAGTCTTATGTGCATAGGAAACGAGTCATAGCTGAAAATCATACGATACAGATCACTCGTGCTTTGTGACAATGTGTGGAGGAAAATTTACATGCAGCAAGAAATGTCAGTTTGAAGATGTATCCATCATCATCCATCGTACTACTGCATCACATGTACTAAGTCATCCCTGTCTTGTCTCCTTGTTGTTTATGGCGTCCCTATATTCCACACTTTTTTGATTCGAAGAATTTTTTATTTGCTTGTATACCAAAATCCATTGCATTGTTGCTCCAGCTAACCCTTAACCCTGAACTTGGCTCTGTTCCGTGTCTGCGCAATATACAGCGAGGTGCAGCAGAGGACTCTAAACACCACATTGCCACCTGTTTACGATTACCATCATCTACCACGCCATGTTATTTTAATTTTTTTGTCAATATAGGAGGATTTACAGTGCTTGTATCCATGGAAGATGTGATGGTGCTAAAAACAGGAACATCTATGCTAGATTTTCAATTAGGTTTACAATCAAAAATGTTGTCATAATTTGTACAAATGATTTTTCCTCTGTAGAAGTATTTTTTTGCCAACAGCAGCATAAAAATCACTTACTCATAGCTTGGCCCAGACTGTAATGACTATTATACAGTGATTGGTGAGCAAGAGAGAGCTACCTTGTGTTTGTAACAGGGAATATGGGTGCTGTCTTAGCTAGCCTATTAATTAACTCATTGGGGTCCACATTACGGGCGCAATTGCATACGTAATCCCGAATATAGGCAACGTTTTAGCCTACTTCAGGAGCGTGGAGTGAATAGCTCAGGCGGTATGGTAGTGCACTACAACACGGGAGGGCACTTCAACACGGGAGGTCCCTAGTTCGGATCCCACCGTCCTTTTTTGCGTTGCGTTTCCGTTGCGTTTTAGTGACGTAAGTTGACCCTCGAGGTGCTTTGGGCCCCAAAGAGTTTTAAGTACATTCTGGAAACCAGTCATAACCATGCATCCTGCATAAATGCTTTATCATGGTGGCCTTTCCCTGTCCCACAAAATAAAATCTAATCTCATCCACTGCATATACAAACAGTGTGTGTAGCACATTATGTCTCAATAATATGTCTTTAGGGAATATTCAGGGTCGCTAAAACTGTGCAGGAGCTGTTTGAAGTGGAGTAACCTCAGTTCCAGGGATAGCTAAATTGTTTGTTACTGATCAGCGGAACATACCACCATCATAACACAACCACTCTTACTTGTATGAAGTAACGACGGAACTACATGAAAAACGATAGAGAACTAGAGTGAAGACACATACGCCACTTTTGAGAAACATTCGGTATCACTTATATCAGAGGACTGAAAGCATTGTCAGACAACACTAAATAATCAGAGGGCATCAGTGTCTCTATGTTCCTGTTCAAAAGCTGTGTTAGTAAGGACGGTAGATACAGGTACATTATGCACAATATGAACTCCCCTGGCTATGCACATAGTATGCAGGCAAGCATAATTATAGTGCAACGAACAAGGGTAAAAAATCGCGTGTAGCTCAACCCCGAAAATGTTTTGACCATAGCAACCGTATATACATTTTCCGAATCGCTTTAGCTACCGTTTGAGCTAAAAGTAGCGAAATTTTGACTCCAACCGTGTTTGCCGATCGCCCGATTTTCCGCCTAGCCATGCAATTCTAACTAACGCACACTTTACGTTCGTGCATCTCATTATTTCGCGCAAAGGTCAACGACGACCGTGTACGTTTTTCGCTTCTTTTTCAACTACCATGCCTCCAAAATCAAAGAGAAAGATCCAGTTAGAGCAAGCAAGGGCTACTAAGCTAGCCAAAAGCAGTGAACCTGACCAAACAACGACTGAACCGGCAGTATCTGAACCAGCAGCTTCATCAACTTCAGGTGCGAGTTTTAGTGAGCCAATAGAAACTGAACTTGACCCAGAGACCCCAGAAGAGTGTTAGGTTTTACCCTAACAACAGTGTTTTCCTGGACATAATATTTCACTGCTCTCTTATTGAGGTCTTTCATTTCGCCACAAAACGGCCATCTCGTTGGTATACTTCCCTTGAAGGGTGTCTGGAAAAGTTCCTGTTTGAATTAAATGTGACTCTCCATTGTCTCACAGTTCGATCACTTCTGCCAATAACTCAATTCAGCTGCGTCGGTTAGTTTGAAAGAGAATTCCAACAAATACATGCCATAAAGGTCGAAAGTGAATTCTACCCATTCAGAAATTTAGCGATGGCACTCCGTTCCTCACATAACTGCCAGCTAAATGAGTGTTTGCTTGAAACCCAAACTCTGTAACCAGGTTATCCACCGCGTGTTAGTGTTTAACCCTCGCTGTCCTCCTCTCTACTCCTCTTCCATGAGTTAAATTGGGCGACCATATCGGCTTGAAGACGCTAGGACAATCGACCAACTTAGAGGACGACGTTCTAGTGTTCAACTTTTCGGCATAATTATGCAGATTGCGCTGTGCAAAAATGCGCATTATGAAACTCCAGTGGTGACGTCTTATCAATTACAGTGGGTCCCACTTAATATCATACCGTTTAATAGAATATCCCGTTTATAATCATACAAACCTGAAATCCAAAACCATTTCCTATGCTTTCCCATACATTTTACTCCGTTTTATAGAACACATACAATACGGATAATGTCATATCCCGCCTATTATCATAGAAAAATTGAGCAATTTTGGTTTTTGCCCGCATATTGTCATTATTGCGCATGCGTAATTAGGCATTCTACAACCTTGGGCTAGGCTGGCGCCCAATGTGCTGGCATAATTTTTGGAATAATAGGGGCTTCCCAGAAAAAGCATAATTCTGGGAATAATAGGTCGGAATTAGGCGTTTGCGCGATCTTCTGCCGGAGCTTCTGCCCTTCCGCGGTTTTGCGTAAAGATGGAGAACTTACCCTGGATATCTTCACTGCAAAAAGAACGAAAATGAAGCGCATCACTCCACGGGAAGGCTAGAGAGACAGCAAAACCGCGCGAACAAAAGTGCAGACTCGGCAATTTTCCTCGTTCTACACGCCCCCCTTTTTACGCAAGGGTTTAGCGGATGCCAGCTCGAAGGGAATAATAGGGGCAGCGAGGAGGAATAATAGGAAAGATTTACGAGAATTGCGGAATAGAATAATGGATAAAAAAATTAGCATAATGGGCTCAACCCTACCTTGGGCTGCAACTCTCCATTCTCCACCTGGCTTCATTAGCTTATGTAAACAGCTAGGCTAGCCTAGCTTAGCTAAACAAACTGCATTGTGCGGTATCATATACACACCCGGAGTATACTCAGTATACGCGCCCGAATATCGTCATATTTTTTAGATGCACCGCGGGAACCAGGACCCACTGTACGCGTAATCTTCAGCCTCCTAAACGATTGTGAGAGTTTTGCTGACGTTTCTAGAAGTGTGTATGTGTGTAAAGAGAGATTTCCCTATCGTGAGGGGGCGGGGTCTTGACTAGCTAACCCCCCTTGCCTAGAGCACACGGACGACTGAGAGAGGGAGGGGCCACGAGATGGCTGCCAGGCCGTCAACTTTCTTCACAGTTGGAGATATTCGCCCAGCGGAAGACTCTGATTTTGAACACTTCATAGAGTTGATCGACGGTGGCGGTTGGACGAAGAAGGTGGACAAGAATGGGCTATTGGCATGGACGCGTAGCGTGGAGGATTCGTCGTTAAAAATGTTCAAGGTGATTTTATATAGCTAGGTTCTGTCGTGATGAAATTGGTCCCCCTGACAGATGTTGTTGGTAGTAACAACATTGGTCCCCAGACACCGAGACTAACCAAATTGAATTGATTGTATCTTGGCATAGCAACATTCTCTAAGTTGTAGCACCACGTGCCCAAGGGTGGTGGTAGTGTTGTGCCAAGACCCCGCCCTCTATAAAGGAAAAGGATCTGGTTATGAATCAGCAGCCTTGTGATAATTTTGCAACACATTTAATTGGATACCCTTGTGATTACACGGAATGCACGGAGCTTTGTCTGCTCTACGTGACGTTGAGCAATCTGATTGGCTTACTGAAAACTAGGACTGCTGAATCAGCACAACCATGAATTCGCTTAACTGTCACCAGTCCCTTTTCCTCGAGAGAGGGCAGGGTCTGTGTATGAGACTACCTTGTTTGTTTAGGTAAAACTTCGTAAGAATGACAATACATTTCTGTTGGTGAGTAATTTACATTCCTACGCATGGTGGGCATATGCGTACGCAGTTGAATTCCGATTGTGTAGGGTGACAAGTGACGCTAACAGCATTTTACACACATGATCCGTAGCTTTGTCTCTAAAAATGATGCTAGGTATCTCAACACAATGCTGATTAAAAATCGGTTTGTGCACTTTAAACACTGCCATTGGGGTGACAACACTATCTTCCTTTTTGTGTTGAATGCAACACAGACAAAGCAGTTTAACTATTTTAGTTACAGGAACCCGTTTTGCTGTAACCATTCAGGGCCTTTCAGTAAGGGGGAATGCCTTCTTTGCTCAAAGCAATTGAGTGGGTGTAGACGACTTTCCTTCTGGTCAATATTTAGTGTGCGTGGTTCAGAGCTGTGCAAATGCAGTGGCAAAAATGCCACAATCAAATGGTCCAGATTCAGTGTCAGAAATAAGGAACTAGTAATGGATGGACATTCATCCGTGTATTTGGCGATTTGATTGATCGTTATGTACTTTAACAAGGTCACCACAAAATGTTTTGATAACAGCATGACAAAGGTTATAAAAACCAGTTTAGATCCAAGTCATCAAGCATGACACTTCTCTCCACCTCAGAGGAACCGTGAAATGAGGGCAAGTCTGTACAAGTAAGTGACGGATAATCGTCGGTGCTTAAGCAATGTTGATCATGCTCTTTTCTCTGGTAAGCTTTCCGTGGTTGGTGATGTAATTCTTCTCTTCTTTTTACTCCACCATAATCGAATGGTGCGATCAGGAATAAATTCCTTCAGAGGAATGCAGTCAGCGTCCAAAACTAAACAATACCCCAGTTGCACGTAAGGCGATCGGAATTCATTAATGTTTTAATTGCCCGTGACGTCACGGGCAAGTATAGGACTTGCGTTTTAAAACTCGCGCCACGCAGACGTTATACCGTATTTCTTTTTAAGTGAAGCATCACGAAAAGTTGCACTCCAGACCTACCGGTAGTACTTTGAACCGAGAGCGTAGCACTTACCGTTCACGAGAAACGTGAGGTCCTTCGCGTATGGCTACGGATATCCAGCAAGTCACATTGTCTCCAGCCGATATTCCTGGAGCAGACCTCTCTGAGCCCTTTAATCGGCCCTCTGTACCTGATTTGCGCTGGTGGCTGCTCTGTAGAGGCAACTTATTGGGGAAAAAAGCAACTAGTAAACAGGTTGCTTGATACAGAAATTACCAGTGAGTGATCAGGTACAGCGCAAATCAAGTACAGTATGCTGATTAAAGGGCTCAGAGAGGTCTGCTCCAGGACGGGACCCCAGCCGTGACGTCACGGGCAATTAAAACATTAATCTACATTCCCCGTGCAACTGGACTATCATTGCCTAGAAGTGATCTCTTGTCTACTTTCAACACTTTCAATGTGGAATAAACTCTTTCCAGCTTACCATTTGAAACAGTTAAGGTAGGTAGGAGTCGAACTAAAGTTTAAACAGTTGAACCACTCTTTTGCATTTTGTGCATGAAAGAGCCTGCACCACAGAGCTTGGTATCCCATAGTGGATAGTGAGTATAATAATTGAGTAGCATGAAGCGGCATTTCACGAAATTTCTCACTAAGCTGATCCACTTGAACACCTGCGTTTTCTAGGGGAACTCTGAATCTCTCTCCAAGCCTCTGTACTGCTTCTATCCCATTACTGCCGCTACTTTGATATGGGATGGTCGTCAACGATTTTCTGTCAGCCTTGCGTCTCCAAAACCATGATGACATCACGCACTAACTGAAGGTCTGACCATGCTAACCTGGTCTTCAAGCAATCAGTTACAGAGGAACAATAGTGGTCGAATAGTGTTCTATGGCTGTGGTCACATGGGCTAGATCTGTTAACTGATGTACTGTTTCCCCATAACTCTCCACAAGCTAGGTGCCTGAGTATGTAGGCCAACACTCTAATCTTTAAAATCAACCTTTCAAGCTCCTTTGCTGAAGGCGTGAAAATTCCCCCAGGACATCCAGATCATCATCCTGGAGCACCTTCGAAAAGATGGAGCATGGGAGCAGCAGGTCTATGAAAAATGCACAGCCCAAAAGGCATTTTGCATCGACCCACTATGTTTAGGTACCCACGGAGTTTAGCACGATCAGCTGGCTTGATAGCACTGTATTGCGATAACGAAGTAGGATGGTGTGTGTACACTCCAAACTTTGCAGCAACACGTTTCATGGCACTGAGTTTGTGAGTAATTCATCTCTGCTTCAGCTCACTGACTACATTATTCAGTTCACGGCATTTCTTAGGACTCTTTTCATAGAAGTAGTAGAGTCTAAGGAGCATTTAATGTCATGAAAAGAAGTTCCTTTCAGAGAATCTTTGAAAGCTTTGCTTAACACCGCATCCAAAACACCCAGGGGAATTCACTTTCAACCAAGCCCTTGAGGCCACCTACTGCAATATTTGCACTTGTTCCGTCAGTGCCAATACCCACAAAAAGCAGGATATTTGCGGAATGCGAGCTTTTTAGCTACAAAATATGCCAAATCTAACTTGACTCAAAGCTTAGCAAGAGCATCTTCTGGAATGTCATGCATGAAGTAGCCCGCATTGGGAGCATAAGCAGATGGACATTCCTCCTAAGCAGTAGCTTGTGCTCTCTTCAAAAGCAGCATAGCGTGTTTATGTTGGTCGGTTTGCGCGTGGTCCTGAATGTTGCTAGAGTCTCTCCAGTCACCCATTTATCGCTGTAGTTGCGCCTTGTTTGGATATTGGACTGAAACTTGGTACAGACTTTACACCTCAACTTGCTGCCACACCAGCACGTTTGTCTCACTCCAGCCACGAGACGGTTTGACAGTCTTTGTCAAGCTCGGTTCTCAACTTTTGAAAACTTTGCTTTGTAGCATACATACGGTACCAGTCAAAAAAATGCACCGTAGTTGTGTTACAACTCCAAAACTTAATGGTGTTGCTATTGTATTGTACTCAGTGCTTGCATGAAGTTTTGGCCTTTTACGACGCGGTACACATGCGCTGGTTGGTTTAACCACTGTAGTAACATTATGTACAATCCTTGCTGTAGTACGTAGGTATGCTGTAGTGTTGCTACATAAGTGCATTTTATCACTGTAGGACGTGTATCTACACCTGTCTGTACATTGTATGCACCTACCGTATGGTTAATACGTAGGTACGTAGTACAGTCACATTTGGGTAGATTTTTGTTTCTCACTGTAGTTTATCTGTAACTACACACCTGTAGAAAGGTCTTGAAACAGTTCAAGGAATAGTAATTACTCCCTTTTTCATGTGTACATTGTGCTGTTGTGTAGATCTGGTTTCTACACTAAAACCTGGAAATACGGTGCATTTTTTTGACTGGTACCGTAGGTGACTTGATGATGCTTTACTTCACCTGTCTCTGCCCCAGCTACTTTGGAAGGAAGATTTCGCTTCATTCTAGCTCGACCGCTCTTGCAGCTTGTCGACGAAAGGCATGTGGAGGACTAACTATCTGCACGTGCGCAAAATTGCGGACCATGGTGGAGGAGAGAGAATCGCGCAGCCAGCTGCAGGCATTCAGCTAGGCGTATTTGCCTGGGCAAATTACGTAGCGAAAGCCTGTTTAATCAGTCTTTTTAGAATAATGCGCGGAAAATGGGCAGTGGCCGCATGTTTTTTCTGACTCCGAGATTGTCAGTGGACATTTACGAAGTGAACATCTATGCACTCGGCTGAGTATCACATGATAGTGGCCAGTTGTTTGTTCAAATCATGTGACTTTAAATTTGTTTCGTGAGGCATAACTCTTCATAACTGTTAAGAATGAAAAGCACTACAGTGCAAACCCTCGGCGAACTGCGCATGCGCGATACTGCTAATTGATGGGTTGGGCTATTAGTAGCGTTTACTCGTGGTCTCCCACTAGTAGCCCATGAAGAGTCTTACATGTGGTAGCTACAGTAGTAGATAGCATGCGGGAGTCGATACACGACCTATGTTGTGACTTCTTGTGCCTTCAAGATACACAGAGCAAGCGGACCCGGTCTAGGTAAGCCCAGTGTGATCATGCAAATTGGCTTTTTCGCTTGTTTTCACGGCATATCTCTCGAACACAGTTGTTTCTGGAAAATCGCCCTTTTTGTTTTCAGGCTTGCGTTCTTTTGAAGCTGCTGGTATCGCTAATAGACCGCCTCGTAGCTTGTGCCAGAATAAACGTCGACACACAGACACACAGACAAACCAACTACTGAACACTTGCTGCGCATGCGTGCCGAAGGCAAGAGTCTCCACGAGCTACTAGCGCATTACACACACTGTTACACTTTTATCTGATTAAAGTGTTTAGCTTGAGTAGAACAGGCTTGTGGTTGAAAGTGAGAAATTTCCTGAACGTAACAACAAGCCCAGCCCATCAATTACAACATCAGACCTCTATGCATGTGTACCATATTTCATCTCCATGCGTGGTACGAGTTTGAGAAGTGAAGAAGTAATTTTTAAGAGAATTGCCTGACGATTTATTTTGTCGTTCAAACAAGAGTTCATCGAAACAAATTTGTAAACAACAGCAAACAGCCTCTTGCCTCTAACCTGCTTGGTCCTCTAACAATGAAACTTGGTACACTGATGTACCATGAAAAGAGTTCATTATATCCAAGTTTGTACGAAACAACAAACAGCCTCAGGCAAGAAAGACTTTTAAATGGTGTCAGTGCCTATAACTTGTTTATAATGGGTTCTATCACAATGAAACTTGGTGCATTGATGTCATGTGAATGACGACAAAACGTCTGAGGCGATAGCTTAAGGCCATTAATGTTACTCTATTTATGGGCTTATGCCCCAAAATATTTTATTGCACACCATGCATGTGAATGCAGTAAAAAGGAAGGAGACATGTAAATAAAAAAATTATTCGAATAGAAAGAGTGTGGAATATAGGAATGCCATAAAAAGCAAAGAGACAAGGCGGGGATGACCTGGTGAGCGTGATGCAGTAGTACGATGGCTAATTGCTACATACTTTGAACTGACATCGCTTGCTCGTGTAAAATTTCCTCCACACAAGCCCTAGATTGTGGCCACCTTTACTGTTTGTTTAGTGAAGTGCGAGAACAATGGTTAATGGATTCTGTGTGTAGATGCAGCATTGTAAAACTGGTTAGTTGAGCAAATGTAGAAGTCATAGACTTCACACAATGCAGTCAGAACTAAAAACCGAGCAGGTGGTATTACTGTCTAATGTACTTATGGAATAAATTGTATCTGTGCATCATACAAGGGAGCACACTCATACTTCGCGACAATAGAGGGCTTGTGTGGTGCACGAGCAAGCGATGTCAGTTCACATTGTACTACTGCATCACATTCACCAGGTCATCCCTGTCTTGTCTCTTTGCTTTTTGTGGCATCACTATATTCCACACTTTTTTTATTTGGACGAATGTTTTATTTACTTGTCTTCTTTCCTTTTTACTGCATTCACATGCATGGTGTGCAATAAAAAGTTGGGCATAATCCCATTAAAAATTAATATTGGTGGCCTTAAGCTATCACCTCAGACGTTTTGTTGTCATTCACCATCAATGCACCAAGTTCCATTGTGAGAGGACCCATCATAAGAGTAATAGGCACTGACACCATTTAAAAGTCCGTATATTACAGATTTGAAGAATTTTTACTTGTATATATACTAAGTACTACCGTACTTAGTGATACATAATGTATTCAATCGCCAACATCAACATAACAACAATACATGTTTGTAAATAACAAAGAGCCTCAGGCACTTTTGTTTAAAATTACCTGCAACTTGCGAGCATACAGATGAAACTTGGTGCACAGGTGTTTTACATTGTTTCCATGACAACCACAGATGGTTTGAACAACAACACAGCCTCATGTGCTTTTCTTTAAAAATACTTTCACTCCTCAAACTTGCTAGTTGTAGCATGCATGTTGGTTTGTATATATGCGTATTGCATGTTGGTTTGCGTATTGCATCGTTTCCATGATGACCACATTATTTGAACAACAAAAAATACCACTACTTCTTCACTCCTGAAACTTGTTAACAGTAGCATGCATGGATATGAAACTTGGTACGCTTGAATATTGCATCGTTTCCATGACAACCACATATTATTTGAACAACAAAAATAGCCTCAGGCATATTTCTTTCTCAAACTTGTTAACGGTAGCATGGATGGATATGAAAACTGGTATGCATGCGTATTACATCGTTCCCATGATGCACATGTTTGTAATGCATTATTAACCCTCGGCGCGCATGCGCAGCGAGGGTTACTGCAGTTGGGGTCTGTCTGTCTGTCTGTCCATGCTCCAACTCACTTCTCGATGGTTTATTCGTCCCACAAACGATACGACGTAAAAACGGGTAATAAGAATCAGTTTAATCGAGCTGTTTTCTCTGAATATACTCCGTTGCGATGGGCGTGTGTCGACTCCCGCATGCTATCTACTACTGTAGCTAGTCCGTGTCAGACTCTCCGCGAGCTACTAGCGTGGATACCACGAGTAAACGCATACTAAAAGCCCAGCCCATCAATTAGTGGTACCGCACATGCGCAGTTCGCCGAGGGTTTGCACTTCAGTGCTTTTCATTCTTGGTTCTCTTGTATTAATTAACCCTCGGCGTGCATGCGCAGCGAGGGATACAGTGGTTGGTTTGTCTGTCTGTCTGCCTGCCTGTGTGTCGACGTTTATTCTGGCACTACAGGTTACAAGGCGGCCTATTAGTGATATCAGCGGCTTCAGAACAACGCGGGCCTGAAAACTAAAAGGGCGATTTTCCTGAAACAACTGCGTTCCAGAGATAAGTGTGCCGTGAAAACGAGCGAATAAGCCAATAAGCACAAGGGAGCTTGGCTTACCGTGACCTGATCCGCTTGCTCTGTGTACCTTGGGGGCTCAGGAAGTCACAACGAATGGCATGTACCGACTCCCGCATGCTACGTATCTACTACTGTAGCTAGCAGACTCTCCGCGAGCTACTAGCGGGAGACCACGACATACAAATAGCCCAGCCCATCAATTTAGCAGTATCGCGCATGCGCAGTTCGCCGAGGGTTTGCACTTCAGTGCAGAAGGCTTGCCCCCTTTCACAGAGATATACGTAGTAGTATATATGTTGGGACCAATTAAAAACCCGGCCCGTTTTAAAGCGTCCGACGGCTTTAAATCGGGCCGGACCGCTTTAAAACGGGCCAGACGGCTTTAATTCTGGCCCGACGGTTTTCAAGCCGCCCCGACGGTAAGCCAGACGGTTTTTAAGCAGACGCTCAGGATGACCATGTCGTTCATTACCGCGTCGTTCATTACCGCGCAACGGCTGTTCCAGCCAACGGCTGTGCATGCGCGGCCGGCAGCAGTGTCCTACCGTGCCAACATATATAAATGAGTGGAGACAACAAGTAAATTATCAATCCTGACATTTTTATCGATTTGCGGTGGAAATTTAGTAAACTAGTAGGATGAAAAGCACTGAAGTGCAAACCCTCGGCGCACTGTGATGCGCGCGCGTAAGTAAACGCATGCGCCGTACCAATAATTGATGGCTGGGTTTAGTTTTAGTCGTGGCCTCTTGCCAGCTCGTGCAGAGTCTGACGCAACACTATTAGATAGCATGCGAGAGGCTATACACGCCCTGCGTTGCATCTTCTGGTGCCTCCGAGGTACGCAGAGCACGCGGATCGATCATGCCGTAGTAAGCCGTTGTGTATTTGCTTTTTCCTTTGCAACGGAGCGTTTTCAGAGAAAACCGTTCGAAATTTCTGACCTTCATTGCCCGATCAGTAGGTGGTATCCTTTGTGAGACGAACGAACACTCGAGAAGTGAGATGACGAGTAACAGACAGACAGACAGACAGATAGACACACACACAGACCCAAGTACCGTAATCCTCGCTGCGCATGCGCGCCGAGGGTTAATTACCTTCATTTCCTTCAGTATACCATGCATATATTTACTAAATCCCCTCTCTTTTGACGCTCAACAAGGGATATTTGGTAAATCCCCTCCTTTTCACCACTTAACTATAAACCCCAACCGTTTCATTGATTCACGCCATGGATATTTAGTAAATCCCTACCCTCCATCTCTTTTTTGTGGTGATTTAGTAAATCTCCACCTTTACCTGTTGCCCATTCCTGATTAATCCGTAGAGATTTTGTAAATTCCCACCCCTACGCACGCGTCACTTCATCCAACTCTTCCGTCGTTTTGCAGTGGACATTTACTAAATCCCCACCTTACGTGTGTCACTGGCCCTGGAATTTTAGTTACCCTGGAGGGTTGTAACCATGCCATTTCCCCCCAACATTAGCTGTCCGTTATTTGCGGGTTTCCAAACGAAAAATGCCTCGGAACGAGGCCACCCCAGCATCCCCACACTTAAGTGCATGCAGTATGCGCTCGCGAGCTGGCGCCAGGATCGTTAACCAGGCCCTTTCATTTTGGTAGCTGGCCTGCCAAATAAAATAGGGCCTACTAGGCGGCAGCTCGCAGCTTTCTAGCGAGCGCATATTGTACACACCAGGACGTGGGGATGTTTCCCGCCAATAACAGATGCTAATGCTTGGGGGCAGGGGTGTGCCTACAATCCTCAAGGGTAACTAAAATTCTGCAGGGCAAGTGATACTCGTAAGGTCGGGATTTAGCAAAGGCTTTGCAAGATGGACAGGCAGGTTACGGGGTGAATAAGGAGTGCGTACATAACCATCTATAGCTTGTGCTGGTAGATGGAAGGGGAGGGGGGAGTGGGGAAGACATTATACATTCATTTGGACATGCAGAAAGCTTGTGGTACAGTGTGGCAAAAAGGTCTGTGGTTGAAGTTGTGGGAGCATGGTGTAATAAAGGCGATTTTCCTGAAACGACTGTGTTCCAGAGATATCCCTTGAAAGAAAGTGAAAATATAATCGGCATTGGCTTACCTCGACCTGATCTGTTTGCTCAGTGTACTGTGGAGGCCAAAAAGTCACAACTGAGCGTGTGTATCTAGTTCCGCATGCAGGAGACCCTGAGTATATCGATGCCAAGCCCATCAAGTAGCAGTACCACACATGTGTATGAGGTCGATGCACCGAGGGTTTGCACTTTAGTGCTAAGATTATGTCGCAGGCACTGGCCATCAATCTGCTCTTTTTGTTCATTCTAACATGCTGAGTATTGTTATGAAGCATGTTAATTGCCCATGTAGCCAAGTGTGCAACAAGAATAGTATGTAGGTTGCTTATTCAGTTTCATACAGTGTTCAAGGACGTGTCAGCTGGTACAGCCTTTGATGTGTTGATGGATCAAGACTACAGGCCTAATTGGGATGATGCCTCAATAAAGGATTTTGACATATGCAAGTTAGATGGCTACAATGACATTGGTTACTATGCCAGTAAGTCTAATTGTTTGTGTTTTTACATAAGATTATGAGTGATCAATCAACAGGAGTGCACGGACCAGACTTCCGGTCAAGCACAAAATCACTCCACGTGATGCATGCTCATTAAATTAAGGCCACGCCCACTCATTCAAGCGCATTCTACGTACTTCACGTATCTCACCGTACCGGATGACTCCATAGGGTTACTCCAGATTCGGTATCTCTCTTGCGTTTGTGTTGCGTTTGATGTTCCAAAGTAAAAGGAAAAAAGCAGTGCTGGTCAGGTAAAGGTCTACTGGGGGTACCTCAAGGCAATGTCACGGCCGAGACTCACGAGTGCTGTAGCTTCACTACACCCATGCCGCTCCCTCCACATGAATTCATCGAGGTACGAGTTCAACATCGTCTCGTGAACCCCCTTCATGTGTTGCAACCTCCTGTTCACCCGATTCCACTACGACTCGATGTGTTGTGTGGAGGATCGTGGTTCACAGCCTGGTGGTGTTGACCGGCTGCGGCTGCGCGCCAGAATTTATTCTCTTTGTGTTTGTGCCGCTCGTTCGCCCATTGGCTGTGCTGAAAGTTTTACGTTGCGCAACCAGTGCGTAGGGTACACTTGAATGAGTGGGCGTGGCCTTATTTAGTGAGCGCGCATTACGTGGAGTGATTTTGGGCGTGACTGGAAGTCACTACACATTGGGTCCATACACTCCAGTTGATCTGATATCACTAGCACTTAGTATGTGGGGATGACAAGGGCCCCTCAGCATTATGTCCATGCATTTGAAGAATCGATATTTCACTTTCATTTTTGATGAGATCTGACTTCTGACACATCAGTGTACAATCCGTAAAAGTCATGTGTACCTAAAAAATGACTTACAATCTGATTCCTACGTAACTAAATCAGACAACTTTGATTTATTCAAGAAAGTCCATTTTCAGGATTCTTTATCTTCTTGTTGTTGTTGTTCTCATGTTCAGTTTCAACAAGTAAATAAAAATCCTGCGAGGCATATTAGGGATAGTATAAAAAGAAAGGGAGACAAGATCGGGATGGGATACATGAAGTAATAGTTAATGTACGGAAGTCAGTGCTGTGCGCGTAATAATGGTACGAGGGGCGTGGTCGAGATAGTCATACAGCACGAGGCGCAGCCGAGTTGCTGTATGATCTATCGAGACCACGTTCCGAGTACCATTATCACGCGCACAGCACGTGCTTCTGTACATTAAGTAATTTATTGTATGCGTGGGCAATTCAAAAGGCGGCGACCAGGAAAACCGGCGTTCAGAACGGAAGAGAGGACGAGAAGCTCGCGGAGCACCCTTCCAGCAGCGGTTTGTGTCACCGTCTGAGTCGAACTCCGTCTACGAAAGGCCGCCGAGGGCGCCATTCCCGCAAAGCGTACGCTAGTCCGCGGATATAGTTCAAAAGGCGGCGGCCAGGAAAATCTTTTTTTTACAAGTTCAGAAGGACTAGAAGCTCGCGGAGCGCCCTTCCAGCAGCTGTTTGTGTCACCGTCTGAGTCGAACTCCGTCTACGAAAGGCCGCCGAGGGCGTCATTCCCGCAAAGCGTACGCTAGTCCGCGGATATAGTTCAAAAGGCGGCGGCCAGGAAAATCGTACAAGTTCAGAACGAAAGAGAGGACTAGAAGCTCGCGGAGCGCCCTTCCAGCAGCTGTTTGTGTCACCGTCTGAGTCGAACTCCGTCTACGAAAGGCCGCCGAGGGCGTCATTCCCGCAAAGCGTACGCTAGTCCGCGGATATAGTACAGTTCGTGTGATATAGTACAGTTCCGCGCGATATAGTACAGTTCATTCAAAAACCGTTCTGTATGATGAATATAGTACTGGCGGCGCCTTTGATTCGCCAACGCAAAATACAATAAGCATGGTTAATGAACAGATTTGAGCACGCTGACACCCCCAACCCCATCACAACACAATCCCTATATTGTTTCCTATAGGGAATGTGGCATTATATAAGGGTGAAAGGTTACTAAAAGAAGCATTCTTTAACCGTGACCCTGTGTTTTTAAAACTTTTATACTGCCACATTCCCTTTCGTTAAACTCCTCTCTATAACGGTGTTGGTTACTCAGTGGCATGACTTTTTTGTATTATAAGTTCTGAGTATTGTAATAGTGAATGTTTAATACTTCACCTAGGCAACAATATGGGGATTGTGTGATGGGGTTGGGGGTGTCAGTGTGTTTAAATCTGTTCATTAACCATGCTCCATGTATCCCATCCCTATCTTGTCTCCCTTTCTTTTTATACCATCCCTATATGCCTCTTTTTTGAATTCGCAAGATTTTTAATTTACTTGGTCTCCACTCATTTTTATATACTACTATGTGTATCTCTGTGAAAGGGGGCAAGCCCCCTATAAAAATTAATAATAGAGAAAAATGCCTGTTGTCGTCATGGAAAAGTTCAAGTTTCATCTCCATGTGTGCTGCCGTTAGCAAGTTTGAGGATTGATGAAGTAAATGCCTGAGGCTATTTGTAGTTGATGTGGTTGTCATGGAACGATGTCATACGCATTCGTACCAAGTTTCATCACCATGAATGCTACCGTTAGCAAGTTTGAGGAGTGAAGAGTGCCTCTGAAGCTATTTGATGTTGTTCAAACCAATATGTGGTCGTCACGGGAACATGATGATATCATGGAAATGATGTAACATTTATGTATATCAAGTATCATCTCTATACGTGCTACAATTGGAAGGTTTTAGAAGTGAAGAAGCCTGAGGCTATTTGTTGTTATATACAACAAACAAACATGTACTGTTGTGATTTTTATGTTGGCTATTGGATACAGACTTTCGTTCACATAGCTCTTACCAATTGTGAGTTACACTGACGCATTTAGTATGCCCATTACAATGTATTGCCGGTGGCAGTTTTGTTGTTGCTTACAGTAAACAACATTGTTTACAAACCTAAAAGTGTGACGTTGCCAATGTTGTTATGCACTCCTACAAAATTTCATGGCTTTATTACCCTTGGCTCGCATGCGCAGCGAGGGTACGGTAGTTGGGTCTGTTTGTGTGTCTGTGTGTCTGTTACTCTACGTCTCACTTCTCGGGTGTTTGTTCGTCTCACAAAGGATGCGACCTACTTAACGGGCAATAAAGGTCAGAATTTTAAACCATTTTCTCTGAAACTGCTCCGTTGCAAAGCTAGAGCGCAAAAAAAGCCAATATGCATACACACAATGGACGGGATGGCTTACCACAGTCAGATCGATCCACGTGCTCTGCGTACGTCAGAGGCACCAGAAGATGCTACGCAGGGCGTGTATCGCATCTCGCATGCTATCTAGTAGTGTAGTCAGACTCTGCGCTAGCTGGCACAAGACCACAAGTATCAGCTAAAATTAAACCCAGCCCATCAATCAGTGGTACGGCGCACGTGTTTACTTATGCGTACGCGTCACAATGCGCCGAGGGTTTGTACTTCAGTGCTTTTCATCTATTTCTCTTTTTGAGTTATGCTGCTTCAAGAACAAGTAGAGGAAGAAGAACACGATGATGAAATCAGAGCCCCATACATCTGTGCTACATAGGTACCATGCTCATCCCTATATACTAAGTACTACCGTACTTAGTGACAAGCCTGAGTTTGTTTAGTAATAATAATAAATTATAATACTCAGGTGGCTGCCATAGCACTAGGGCCATAGACCACACACCCAGAGCAATGGGCGGAACGGTTACCAAACGAACATACGCTATATGAACATGTGGTGTCTGTCTCACCTCCCACACACCTCAACTCACCCCTTCCACCAGCGACACCCTGCAGCTCCCCAGACGCAATCTGAGACTGGGTCTATTGTATGCTGGGATTATCGCCGTATAACCTAACCTTTCTTAGCTCCCAAACATCCAAAGTAGAACCTTTAACAAGGCCGAGCAAAGAACCAAATTTATTCTCCCACCGCTCACTACCCAAAGAAAGGATGCTTTCCTGAAACTATCAAGCGACTGGAAATGCTGAAACCCAAGCTTCTAAAACTACTATATGCTGGAAACTCCCACAACACATGACTCACACTTTCACGCTCATTATCACACAACAGGCACTCCTTCATCCCCTCCCTCCCACTATGCCTACCCAGTTCCTAATTTATCCCATGCGTGCCTGACCTGAACTTAAACATTAATCTAGATCCAGCATCACTTTTCCCATGCAAGTACTTTTTGAACTCTACCACCGTCTTATACAACAACAGCTTTACTTTGCTATTTAGCCCCTCTTCAAACTTTCTAATCTCCCTCTCATTGATACTGTCCCCTACTGTAGACAAAAAGCCCTTCATGGAGCAATCCTCATTTTGAATATCACGCAACCACTCTGCCTTATCAAGACCTAATGAAGAAAAGAGATCATCAATGACCTCACTCCAGCACTTCCTCTGCCTGCCTCTCCGTGGTTTAAAATTCCATTCCTGATTAAAAAGCTTCTTTGGATACCTATTGCCTGGCAATGCCTTTAACTTATACCACCACTTCTTATCCCTACGTCCTTGTAACGTATCAAGCCCATATATCCCCCCTAACGGCTTCATTACATGTCTTAGATGAACATCCAAGAATACGCTTAGCTCCTCCCAGCATCACGGACTCTAACGCAGCTGCCTGAGTCTTATTGGCTTCCCACACCACACTCTCATACTCTAAA